TGAATTCAGGGAAATAGGAATGAAGAGACATTCAATAAAAGGAAGATTCAGAGAACAAAATGACAGCTTTCTTACTTAATCTTGTTGACAATGAGTCTGGCTTCTTTCCTAGAATCTATTTTACAGGCTGCTAAAAGGTTAGGTGGTTCAGTTGTGAAGATATATCAATAGCTGGAACATGTTTACCAGGAAGTGCGGTGGAGGCCAGGAATCTGTGTTTGGGAAGACAATAGAATGGAAAGAATGAGATAAAATGATCCAAATTACTTCTTTCAACTGAATTTCCCTTATGTTCTTACCATACACTGTGATCAGACACCGAAAGGGGAAGGATGTGGAGCAGGGTGATAAGCGGTCAGAATTCATCTTAACATCAAACCACTCCACCATGTCACACTGGACCTCCAAGCAGAGTCCAGTCAATAACTTTCAAAGCTTTTATCTTCAGCTTCACTTTACTGGGATGTAGCCTGGAGATTCCAGACTCCCATGTGCCACTGAGAAATACTATTACATTTATTATTTGCTAAATCACAGGCTCTTTGTATCACTGCATACATTGTCAATAGTTTTGTCGTTGAAGTTTCACATTTCATTTAGTGATTATCTTTTATGTCCTTTACCAGGACCCATATTCTTCTGGTATATTAGGCCAAGGATAACAGCTGTGCATGTACCCTTGTAAAATAAGCAAAGACTTCCCTGCTGGGAAATTATTGAAGAGAAAAGGGCCACCACAGTGGGACCACACAAGGTAATAAAATCTGCTGCTGAGATCAGCAGCTTAGACCATGCTGAAATCTATTGTTCTTCTCTTGCCTCAGCCAAATCATCTTACTAGCCCAGGGTCATCCAGACAAAAGTTTCGCTTAACCAAACAGAGACTAAATAAACAAAACCCATGTAGTAATATATTAATCACTGAATATCATGAGGTGAGACCATGGTAAAGTACTTCTATGTAAAAAGATTGTGTCTTGATTGAGGGCATGGTTCAACTTCATAAGAGGGCATAGCTCAGCCTGCTTATTATAATAATAATCCTTTCATTTGATATAGCTCCTTTCACATCAGTTCCAAAGTGTTCCACAGGACTTATTGTAAAGTGGTTGAATCTGTTTATGTGGGCAATCATGGTAGACAATTTTGTGCACACCCCAAAAAAGGCTTAGAGATTGAATTGGGATGTTAAATAGTACATAAATACTTGGGAAGAAAGGGCACGAAGGTTATGGACAAAAGGCAAGGAAATGCAATTGAAAGATTAGCCCTGATCTAGTAAGATGGCAGAATAGCTCAATGGAGTAATGGTCCCCTGTTCCCAAGTTATTATAAATCATAACATTCTAGCATTTGGGTCACATTCACATTTCCAAAGAGTTGCTGAAATTTAGCCCAATTTTATTTCAGACTTTGGATTTGGCACTCGGCCACCTTAATGATAGACTACGTGAAGATTTCCCCTTGTGTACAGATGTACTGAAGATTGTTTACTTTAGTGAAAACAAAGAGGGACAACGACTGAAATATCAGCAAAGTGCTAAACTTTTGAAACAATGGAAAATATTTCCTTTGCTATGTCGCACACTTTGTGTTTTGTCAGACCATTTAAAGTGATACACATGTGCTTCTTGTCGGTCACGTGTTTAATTTTAAAGACATCCAGATGTATTTCTTGTAGCCCACATATTGGTCAGACATTATGTGGTCTAATAAATGATGTGCTTTCAGAGTAGGAAACTTTCCCTGCAATCTTTCTTTAAGCATATTCAGATTATGAAACATAATTCGTACTGAAACTGAAGCCCCACTGAGCTCAGATTAGGATAATAAATAATAGTGGATCTCAAACACTTTACATCAGGAAATAAATTCATGGTGAAAGACTGACAGTTACTAAATAGTTACAAAACACTTATGGATACTTACTGGATTCCGCTCACAGCAAAATATTTCTTGGCACAAATCAGAATATATCAGAAATTGACTGACTGACTCAGCAATTCCTATTTAGAAATACAGAAAGAAGCTCGTTCAATTATGGTAGGCAGTCAGCTTAAGTCTAGATGACAAATATTCTCCATTATTGAATCTGATACAAAGACTGATTCAAAGAGATCTGTTTTCCTATTTTAATGAAAACTGAAGCTAACAGGAATGTGCAACTGATTGAGGGGAAGAAGCATGCAGATGAGAGCACTGTGTATTTCTGACGATGTGAGAAATCTGATTTGCTACATGCAACAATTTAAGCATCCACCTGGTTCTTTATTTCAAAACCCATAGAGGGACCTTGAACTTATGGTATAGATTGATGTCACAGTGCAGTTCTAGGAGAGTATTGCATTATTGAATGTTAAATTGTCTGTCAAATAAATGTTAGAACTCTCATAATATTATTCAAAGGATGCAACATTAACAACTTGCATTTATATAGCGCCCTTCAAGCCGGACGGCGTCTCAGAGCACTTAACAGTGGCAGAGCCTGATGCCGAGCCTGGGAGAGGGAGAAGGTGACCGTAGGGATGATTGAGAATAGAAGCACAAGTACTCCATGGATGGGATAAAACTAGCCAAGCGGGAAATCGATTGAAATGGGGGCAAAGGAGTGCAGGTGCAATAATAAGGACAGCCTGTAGCAAGGAAGAACAAATACAATAATAACATAATTGTTTCTCTGTGTGTGACAGGCTGCGATGTCTCATACATTCAGCAGAATTCCCAAGTCTGTCTGTGGGGTATAAGGTCCTGCTGGTGATGAGCCAGGCTTTGGCTTCTCACGCATTAGCAGTCACTGAATGCCGGGTTCTCTTCACCAGAAACTCACAATCCACCTGCACAGTCATCGCAGCAGTGTTTGGTACACAAAATCCACAAGCTCATCAGCACTGCTATTTCTGCTGTTTCTGATTCGGGTGCTTCTCATTGAGAATGAAAGTTTCCGGAACTGCCCTCGACAAAACAGGCTTCTTTAAGCAAAGAAGAAGCACCACTCACAACCTGCTCCTCTTATCACAACACATTCTTCGGAAGCTACAGTAAGAATGAGTGCATGCTGGCTGTTTTCCTGTTTGTCGAGAAAATTTTCAAGCAACCGTATAATGGGCTGCAATGCCCTGTGACACAGCTTGACATTCCTAAAGAACTTATTTATTTTATTTATTTTGTGGAGTCCTGTAGCTCAGTGGTTAGAACACTCGCTTTGCAAGTGAGAGACCTGAATTCAATTCCAGACAGGGCGAAACCTTGGGCAAGTTTCCTTACTCCACACGCCTAAAAATAATCCCTCCAAAACCAAAAAAAAAAACAATAATAAAAATTGGTCATTTTCAATCTTTGACTGTTTGTGGGACATTGCTGTGCGCAATTGGCTGCCGCGTTCGCCCACAAATATACAGTCAATTCACTTTACAGTGTATTCTGTGAAGCGCTTTGGGACGTCCTCCCGACGTGAAAAGCGCTATACCAAATGCAAGGATTATTATTATTATTATTAACTGATCCACTGGTTCCTTACTGACTGCACAATTTGATTCAAAGTGGCCTCAATGATTTCCAGCTAGATTTTGCTCAATGGCAGTCATGCCACAAAGATCACTTCTCAACCTACTCCTATTTCTGATTTATCTCAATAAAATTCCAATACCTGGGTAAAAGTTTGGGGTCTGCTCTCAGTTTACAGCTGATATCACTTTCTGGATTTTGTCAATGAGCTTGGGTATCGCATCAGACAAGTTGCAAAAATGTCTCGGTGATCTGGAGTAGTGGGCATGCCATTGCAAAATCCTATTAAACCCAAGGAAATCTCAGTTCATGCTTTTCTCCAAGAGTGGAAAAAAATAGTGAGGAGGATGTGAGAGTTGAACTGCAAATCAAACCCATCAATATGGGCAACGAACACACGTTTTGGGGAATAACGTTTCAAAGGGATCTGAATTGGACGAAGCACATCAATGACATTGTCTCCTGGACATCAGCGTGGCTCAACCAACTTTTGTACAAAGAAGAATGACCATCTTAAGACTATACAAAGTGTACATCTGGCTAGTCCTGGGGTACAGCCACTTTGCTTGGCTACATTGGGTCAACCCCAATTATAAGACTCCAGCAGATCCTGAACCAAGCGATGAGGCTAGCATATCACCTGCCCCACTTTATCTGCTCTCCTATAAGCGTAAGATCTCCAGGCTACAATTGACAGAGAAAAGGCACATCAGGAAGAAATACTTGAGAGCACAGAATAACCCATCGCCATCTACACTGATAGAGCAAGAAGGACAGAAGCCATCATGATACATTGTAAAACTGCACTCTCACTTGGTGTGAGATATGATGTGCTCCCCTTCCCAGTCCAGCCTCAGATTGAATTCGCACTGAACTCTGTGATCAGGGTAACCTCAGTTTAGATCCTTCCCAAAAGGAACAGGGAGCCATAAATTATGTAAAAAGGATTAGAAACCCAGGGCGAAACATTAGGCAAGTTTCCTTACTCCACACGCCTCTGTTTACCTAGCACTAAGTAGGAACCCGGTTGTTAGTTAATTGGCAAATCGCTTTTCTGGGGGTAATAAACCCTTCAAAAAAAATTGGTTGCTCAATCCACGACTGTTTGTGGGACACTGCTCTGTGCAATTGGCTGCCATGTTTTCTCCACAAAATATATACAGTCAATTCACTTTACAGTATATTCTGTGAATCGCTTTGAGACGTCTCAAAGACATGATAAGGCGCTATATCAAATGCAAGGATTAGCATATTATTCTCAGCAGGCTTCCATTGTTAGTATTGGAAGCCTAGTTTATACCTTGTGTTTTTCTAATTATCCTGAGGGAATGTCAGGACTATTTCATATGAGTGAAAAAGAAGAGATCCAGGAGCAGTGCCTAGTTGCACCATGCAATTACTGAGATACAATTCTTTCCGTATACTTTCATAATACCTTATACACTGAGCTGCCATACGTTCAGTCATCCGCTCAGAGTAAGTAAAACGGAACACAATGCCTTTTCATACTTCCATTTTATTTGTACACATTGACATAACTTGAAGCAACCCAAGAAATGAAATCCCTTCAGGTATTTCTTTAAACCAAAACTAATTAGGGAGGAAGTCAATTGTTCGGGAGTGGTGATGGCAATTGCGTTTATGTCACAATTTTAATTATTTATGTTGTAACTCATTAAGTTGCAACTTTAGCATCTCCAACTTAGTGCTGATTACGAAATATGAATAATAATTATTACCAACAGAATATTTAGGGACGTAATGCAATGCAGCAGTACTGTACTTTAACATATTCGGCAGAAAAAAGCTTAATACTTCTGAAGCCAATTAAGGCAGCTTGATTCAGGCAGTTTGAATTAGTGTGGTGGGCGTCACAGAAAATACATAATAAATACAAAAATACACCCATCTACATAATTTATTGTTTGACAAGGAAAGAGTATTAGCAACTGATTTGTCCAAGTTTGCTGTTAAATATCTCAAATCATATTGATCACGTGCATGAATGGATTCTGGGTTTGAAAGTTTGAAAGTTTTTGAATCTTAAGTTTGTGAAGAATACATATTTAATCACAACGAGTTGGTATTGGATTGATTGGAGGGTGGAATATATCCTTGAGCTCACTGTTGGCATAAGCCCCACTTTCGTCTTGCCAAGTGTTCCTGCCTTCACGTCGGTGGTTTGCAGGTTCCATAAACTGAGAGATGCACTTTCTGTACAGAGGACCCTTATTCGGAATAACCTCGGGCTACATAGGTAGAGGACAAAAAAATGGTTAATCTTATTTCCTAAGTTTCAATTGAAAAACAAGCTGTGTCACAAACTGAAAACTTGCTGGGCTTTCCTTCAACTCCGCAACATTTATTACCACCTCCCCCTCCCCCTTGGGTTGCCAGACCCTCATTCAAAGATTCATCACATCCAGGCTGGACTATTTGAATGCCCTGCTTGCCAGACTCCCACCATCCTTACTCGGCTCCACTCGCTCCCCATCCCCCAGTGGATCAAGTTCAAGCTCCTTGTCCTTGCATTCAAATCTCTCCTTGGCCTTGTCAGCCTACTTTATGTCCCCCATCTTAAACTCAGCTTCCTGCTTCACAGGCTTGTCTCACCACCTGACTAACTGACTGCCTGCCTGCCTTGAACATACTGATTCATTTCTAAGGGGACTCTTGAAAGAGTAGAACTAGTGGACGAAATATCTGACTTGGAACAATTTCCAGACTTTGGCATTTTTTTCCCAGACAGTATTTTATTATAATGTGTGCAGTGGTTAAAAAGACATTACATTATATATCCTACTCATTTTTTCCCATCGTACCCCATTTTAAAAGGGGGCATAATTTAAGGATTATTATTATTGTCTCTTAATGAAATTTTTTTGGGAATGGAAAGTATGTCTAAACAAATTTGGTTTTAATCAGTTTTCAACCATTGGTTTTCTTTTTATTTGTATCCACCTGAAGACTGTATAACTCATGCTGAGATGTAGTTTCTTGGATTATGGCAGCCATCCAAGCCCCTTGTCCAAAAAAACATTCTCAATGTGTGAGCCCAGATAGTGATTTTTCTTTTACTTTTTCTTGGGATATGCATATTACGAGTAATAATAATCCTTTGATATAGTGCCTTATCATGTCGTCAGACATCTCATAGTGCTTCACAGGGTATACTGTAAAGTGGATGAACTGTGCATTTTGTGGGCGAAACACAGCAACCAGCTTGCACACAACAATGTCCCTTAAACAGCCAGGTGAGTGACCACTTTTATTTGGGAGATTGTTGGCCAGGTTATCAGGTGAAACTCCCTTCTCTTTCCAAACAGTGCTATGGGATTTTTACCATCCACCTGAACAGGCAGATGGGACCTAGGTTTAATGTCTCATCTGAAGGCACCTCCGACAATGTAACACGCCCCCAGCACTACATTGGAGTGTCAGCTTAGACAACAACAACAACAAAATCACATTTGTATAGCGCTATTATGTGATTCCAAGTCCCAACATAGGGCTTGAACCCACAACCTTCTGACTCAGAGACGAGTGTGCCACCACTGCTCCAGGTTGACTGACTACTATTATGCCAGCATTTATTGCCCATCCCGAATTACCCTAATCGGGCCTTCTCTTTAAACTGCTGCAATCCTGTGCCAACGTGCTCCCACAATCGTATTGGGTGGGGCGGTTTGCTCAGTGTCTGTCAACTGTAAAGGACTTTGACGTTATTCTACTTGAAGGGCATTATGTAAATACAAGCTGTTATTGCTGTTCTAATAGTTTCACTCAGTGATGATGGTGCAGGTCAAGCTGGTGAGTGACTTGAAGGGGACATGTAGTTGATGTGTTCCCATGATGACGCTACTCTTGTTCTCTGAGATGGTGAAGGTTGAGGGGCTGGGAGGTGCTATTGAAGCAAGGTTGGTGAGTTGCTGTAGTGCGTTGTGGAGAGTTAACACTGCAGCCCACAGTGCGTCAGTGATAGAGGAGTGGATGTTGAACTGAATGGCTGAGTTGCCAATTAAAGCAAACTGCCCTCTCCTTATGATTTTCAGCTTTTGATTGTTGTTGTAGCTGCTTCCATTCAGGCAAGTGGTAAGCACTCCATCACACTGCTGATATAAGGCTTATAAACAGCAGAGAGGCTTCAAGGGATTTTGGAGAGGCACTCTTCAGAGAGTATCGAGACTCTTCCTTGCTCTTGTAACCACATGGTGTTGATGAGGCTCAGTTATGCTTCTTGTCATTGGTTTCCCCCAGGATATTGATTGGGGGGGGTGCTTAGTGATGGTTGTACATTGATAACATGATGAGTTTCTGAGCCTTACAGAAAAGGAAGCTTTCAGATCAGTTAACAAAGTTATGGGCTAGATATTGAATCTGAAAGCTTTCTTTTCTGTAAGGCTCAGAAACTCATCATGTTATCAATTTCTTTCTGAACACACTGCCCTGAAAAGACATAATATAAACCTGACTGGAATGCGTAAAAGGAAGATAGAGAGATATTGTTCTTGGGGAGTAAGTCTATTAAACGATATGAAAAATGAATGGAAATGAGATTTAGAAATGTAAAGAGGTGTTATGAAATGGCGGAGTAGGCTCCACAGGCTAAATGAGCTAAAGCTTAGTAGCAAATTATGTATGTTCCCACCTAACTACATTTAGAGTAGCTTCCATTCACTCGATAGCAATTACAAATAGGAACTTTGCCACCAATTATTTTTTGTCCTCACTAGTTCAGGAATGTAGAGGCGAATTATAGTTCTCCTCTGAACCCCCACAGAGATCAATTAATATAGTTACAGACTAGCAATATCAAACTTGGAACCCGCCTCATCAATTTGACACCACATGATCCAGTTGACTAATTCTTTCCACATTTATGCAAAATCTTAAATTTTATGACAATGTTCTTCAGGCTAAAATCACAACAGGTTTCAATCCTCAGATGTCCATACAGTGTGTTTCCAGCATGGTCAATGGATAGCAATGAAGAACTGGGTATTTTCTGATATTTACTGTCCCACGAGCTGCTAAGACTTGGTCAACGCTGCGGAACTAAGTTTATATTCAAGTTGAATCTGCCGACTGAGGAGCAGTCCAGGATTATACAGCTAAAAGTATAACGTCTTTAAACGTACTGGCCTAAATAATATTGACAGTCTTACCCCTTTTCTGCTGGAAGAAATTCAGCAAAAGTCAGAAGAAAGCACAGTGGTTGATCCAGTGCGGGAATGATGACTTTTATTAAATATATTTTCTGCATATTTGAGAACAATGGGGACTAAAAGGATCCTAGTAAACAGCTGACAGTCATCAGAAAGCTTGTACTCAACAGCTGAGCACTTCCTGACCTCATCTGAGATCTGAGTAAATTCTGAAACACTACATCTATTGTACCTATCCCAAACATCACAAAAGCTATGATTGATTTTGCACTATTGGCATTAAAGTTATTGTCAATAATATTGTGCAATGTGCAGTTATGCTGATAGAAAAGATCATAACACTAATGTCTTCTAGTCACGGAAATCATTTGTTTCTCTAAAAAGGCACAGTTCATAGAATTATATTCCTGAGTGCATGGAATATTGAACAAGAATTCCTATAATCTGCATCAGCAATTCTAAAATAGCCCAAAACATTAGAACCAGATGGAGAGCCCTGTTTTATGGTCTCTCAAGTTGCTAGTTTATCTTTCTAGCAAAACAAATTCTTGAAATAGGAGAGAGCTTTTAAGCACCAAGTTAAGATGACAGGAGACCTTGAGGCACAAAATCACAGAAGTTTCCAATTCTATTATTACTTATGACTCCACAAGAAAAAGAAATCCTGAACAATAAAAAGCACCAAACAGCTGTTGTTGGCCCATAAAATATTTAATTCAAAGGTCAGTTGAATTTCCTTTTAAAAACAAATTATATTCATTCATCACTCAAACAAAAATGTTTGTTTGATATTTTATATATTATAGCATTTGTTTAAAATATCACATTAAATTAAAAAAGGGAAACATTAATCTTGTAGTCGATGAGGTTTTAAGTTTTATAAAAATAATTATTGGTTGGTGTACCTAATAACAATTGAAACATTTTGCATCCGCATTCAATGAACAAACAATGCCTTCTTTATTTATGTCAAGCAAATAAACAAAAGAGCTCTTATACACTGACATAATAATAATAATCCTTGCATTTGATATAGTGCTTTTCACATCTTCTATACGTCTCAAAGCGCTTCACAGAATAAGCTGTAAAGTGAATTGACTGTATATTTGTGGGCGAAATGCGGAAGCCAATTGCGCACAGCAGTGTCCCACAAACAGTCGTGGATTGAAAATGACCAATTTATTATTGTTTCGTTTTGGAGGGATTATTATTAGGCGTGTGGAGTAAGGAAACTTGCCCAAGGTTTTGCCCTGCCTGGAATTGAACCCAGGTGTCTCGCTTGCAAGACATGTGACAACAGTAGAATAAAAAGAACAACAATAATAAATTACATTTACATAGCGCATTTTAAGTCAGGAAGACGTCACAAGGAGCTGGACACTCAAGAGATTTGGACCTGAGCTGATGGTTGGGATCAGGAGGGATGGAGGGTGAGGAGGGTATGGATATGAAAATGAGCGAATGCACGGTCGAAAAGGAGGTTCTTGAGACAGGCCTTGAAGGAGGCAAGGGAGGGAGCGAGGCGAAGGGACTGTGAGATGAAGTTCCAAGTAGTCTTTCGAATATACTTTGAATAAGAATATTCACAATGCCAATCTATGCAGTTTTAGCTGGTTAAACTCCACCAGTATTCCAACAGTCCCCCGAGCCTCAGCTCCACTGTTATTAGCTGTTAAGTGAGGTACTGTGATGATTATTTTAATGCATTCTCTTTTGCAGCTTCATGCTGTGAAATGCTGGACTTAGAAGATAGAATGTCTCATCATAACTTTCTTTGAAACAGTAAATCCAAGAAGGGAACATTCCCAACTCTTAACAATTTAAGGAATCCGGCAGTTTTAACAACATAAAAGTAATGCGACACGTACAACTTTCACGGTTTGCCAAGTACAGAGAAACGTGGTTTAAGATTTATGAATGCGATCATAGCAGAGGAATCAATCAACGGTGCAGACATTTTCATATCCATCACCTTCTGGCACACAATTTGACTCATGCAATTGTGAGTGAGATTGCAATGAGAGATCTGTATCAATGTTCAGCTTAAGAGCACATTGGAGAAGACCACAAAAAAAAATTAATAAGTATGCCAATAATTCAAAAAATAGCACCAACTGAGCTAGGTTGAAAGGGCTGTTAAAAGCAGAATTAATTGGAAAATACAGCAACCCAGGCTAAACAGAATCCATTCGGGATCTCTGTTGGCAGAGGCCTGTCATGTGCCAATCACTACAATAGTAATCTTTTGATTGTATCTTTAGAAAACCAGAGTTAAAATCAGTGTAAACAGGTAACACACATGTAAATATTGCTCCTAGAAAATTCCACTCTAAAGAACTAACGAAACTAATGCTAGTTTTAATGTTCAGCATATACACGCTTGTCTAAGGAAAAGATTAGAAATGTACCAAACAGAATTCTAACTGACAATGACACTGAACAAGATATTAATAAATAGTCCTTCAGTTTGATACAATAACAACAAATTGCCCTACATGTCAGAAGGATGTCTTAAAACACTTCATAGGATTCACTGTAAAGTGTATTGATTCTATATTTGTAGGTGAACGCGGCAATTAATTTGTGGACAAGTGAATGACCAATTTTATTCAAGGGATCGATGTCTAGGATTCTGGGAGAAACTTCTTTCTCTTTTCAAGTAGTGGAAAGGGATCCTTATTGTCCATTTGAACAGGCAGTCAGCTATTTGATATAACCTCTCATCTGAAGGATGACAACTCTACAAATGCAACATTCCTCCTGCACTGGAGTGTCAGTCTATACTGTGAGGTCAAAGTCACAAAGTGGGGCTTGAAGTCACAACCTTGCAACAAAGAGGTGAGAGTGCTAGCAGCTGATCCAGGCTGACAATTAGCTTTGTATATGATATCATGGGGCTTGGCACTTTCCTGCCCACTGGATTCTGCAGATACAATTTTCTCTTTAAGTATAGGAATTCTCAAATTTGTGGATGCTGAAAATAATTGTTAACCATTCCAACACAAAAGGGTCCGTATTTACTTTGACTGCTCTCCGAGCCTGAAGGTGGATTACTATTTAACCTGTAAATGGAACATCTAATCATGGGTTGCCGTAATCCGTGGTATCAATATCTAACTGTAACAAAGCCACAGGCATCCCATGAAAGGAACAAACACAGATCACAAATTGAAAGTAACCAACTGTTCCCCTTTGTGCTATGAATCATGTAAGTTGTTTAAACCAGAATAAGGAGTACCTATTTGTTTTTCTCTCCACCATTTCTGAGTACTGCAACAGAAAACAATTTTTATCTCCCTAAGTATTTTTCGGTGATATTTCCTTCATTGTAGTTGTTTCAAAGGCCCAATGCGTAAAGGCACTAGCTCATTCAGCACTTAACCTCTACAGAATATACAGTCAATTCATTTTACAGTATATTCTGTGAAGCCCTTTGAGATGTCTCGAAGACATGACAAGACGCTATGTCAAATGCAAGGATTATTATTAGAGACTGCAGCATTTCCCACTTGATTTCTCTCGCCCCGCACACAAGTGAAAACAGGTTCAGACTCAACTATGATATAGTGCATGGTTCCATAGCCTGGAGGTGTCCACCGATTTAATGAGCAAAAATAAAGTATGTTCCCCATAAAAAACTATAGAAATAACGGGATATAAATTGCAGGATTGTGTTGAAGAATGTATCATTAAATTTCTAAAATAATATTGAATGCATTCTTCAGCAGGTTCAATGTTTTGGAAATTCGATAATTATACATTTCTTCTTAAGAATTCTGTTGAAAATACTGTAAATAATACCACAAAAGGTCTGGAAGCATTCAAACAGAAACAACTCCTAATATGAAATTCATGTCCTTATCTGCAAATCTGAACTTTATGAAATTACACAGGCACTCTGGTTCCTTTCCTGACCAGCCTCAATACACCAGTTTCCATAATAATTAATGGAAACAAGTTGTCACTGACATCCAGCCATTACACAGTTCAATTTTTCAGGTTAGTTTCTGCTTAATCAATAAAGTGAGGTCAAATGTGAATACCCCAGAGGTTATAATCGTGAGGAATATTATAATTTGTTTAACTACAGTATCCTTTTACATCTACAATGAACCCGGCATCTGCACACACCCATCTTTTAAAAAATCTAAACAGCAATGTAAATTGTAAATATATGAGTTCTGAGTTCCCAAGTCATGTTAGCATGAGGAAGGATCACCTTAGGGGTAGGCTTTTTGCCAGAATAAATTTGGAGGCAGCCACCTGTGGATTACTCTTGTGTAGTTAAGTACACAGACAGCACAGTATTGTGTGCATGGTAAAAAGCAGGAATGGACTCGGAAACAATTGAGATTCTCTATGGATAGCAACTAACATACAAGGTCACTGCATTGAATATGGCTTTTACCATCTAGATTGCAAACCTGTCTTTACACTGCTGTTAGGAAAGCATGCATAAAATTCCAACTTTGGCTACATATTTCTTAATGTTACTTGCGAGCCTGTGATGTAATGTGCCATTTCATAACCTCAGAAAACAGCCTATGGAAAAAAATTCCAAGTGATTCAATGGAAAACCCAAGAGCTTTTCATGGACCACAGGAGAACCATCCCAGTATGAGTCACTTCATTGTGATTATACTGCTCAGACATGAATTCCACTATTCCAACAGGATGTGTGAGGAACAGGGTTCCAAGTCTCACGCTTGCTCACCCCAAAATGAGCACATTAAAAAAATTGTCCCTGCTTTTGTTACTTCCTAGAACTCTCATTAATTGAATTTCAATATGGTTATTGGCCCATCAGGCCCCTCTTAGTCTAATCCAGTGGTGGTCGATCCATAGCATGAGGGCCAGAAGCGGCCTGTCAAACATGCACACTAGTCTAGGTGAATTCTGTTTTAAATCAATGTTTTGTTTCCATTTTTTTCTTGATTGAATGTTTCTTGATATATAGCATAAATTTCTTGATTTATAGCATAAACCAAAATGGTTGGCCACCACTGATCTAATCATTTAACTTCACCTAAAGCCATTTTTAGAATAGACAATAAATAATATTCCTTACATTTTATGGAGCTCCACCTTGTATGAAATAAGGTGTCACCAAATTTTCCTAAGCTTACCTCACATAGATGCCTGTATGTGGATGTTAAAGACCCCATGGCACTATTTGAAAGTAAAGGGAGTTTCTCCCATTGTCAACGCCAACGATCCCAAAGATAAAAAATGGTCATTTTGCTCATTTACTGACTGTTTATGGGACATGGCTGTCACATTCTCCGACAAAATATATAGTACAACACTTTGCTTTGAAATGTTATTGTGATGTCAAATCAAATGCAGCCAAGTTTCATCCTTGATGAAAGGTCACTATCAACTTCTCTTCCTTTTTCAGACGTTCATTAACCTACTGAAGATTTCCTGCAACGTTATGCTTTTATTTCAATCTAACTACAAGTAAATTACAGTTTTTTGGGGTGAAAGGAACTTTTTAAACCTGTTCTATTCAAAATCGCACTCATTCTGAATGGACAGCACCAGCAAGACAAAATAACATTTACTGCCCTATAATCAGAAACATACACACAGTAGTTCCTCTTTGGCTTTCGTACATAAGCAAGTACTTTTGGTAGCACTGCAATGGAAAAGATTACAGCTGAACACTTGTGCATGTAAGTCTGATGACAATAGTGACCAGTTGCTGGCAACTATTAAGCACAATAAGAAACTAAATGCCAAGCATGTAAACATATAGGGGAAAACAACCCCATATTTATCAACCCACTGTGCTAACATATGCTTAAAAAAATGTTTCAGATGTCTTCTAACTAATTATTGATTCTGCTCCTGGGGGGAGGGAAGGTAAAGGGGGTCTCTCTGGGGCTGAGTTAGCTTGAAGGTGACATGCATGGCAATGAAATACTGGAATCAAATTGATCCTCGGTACTGGACTTGATAGTTAGGTCCGTAGTATTCCAAGGCATTGTTGATGACGGACCAGGCGGCTTTTGCTCATTATCAGAACTTGGAGCAAACTAATCACTAGGAGTCGGGATTCTTTCCATTAAGCTCATGCTAATTCTGTAAACCAAACCCTTAATGGGTAGATTTTGCTGTGGCAACTGTGGCAAATTTAAGAAAGGATGTACCCGCCTTGGAGGGGGTACAACGTAGATTCACTAGGTTGGTACCAGGGATGCGGGGGATGAGTTATGAGGATAGGTTGAGCAATTTAGGCCTGTATTCTCTAGAATATAGAAGAATAAGAGGTGATCTTATAGAAACCTACAAGATTATTAAGGGGCATGACAGAATAGATAGTGGGAGACTTTTTCCCCTGGTTGGAGAAACTATAACCAGCGGTCACAGTCTTAAAATTAGGGGTAAGCCCTTTCGCACTGAGTTGAGGCAAAACTTCTTCACTCAGGGAGTAGTGAATTTATGGAATTCTCTACCCCAAAAGGCTGTAGATGCTCAGTCCTTGAACATATTCAAGTCTGAGATTGATAGATTTCTTGTAGATAAAGGGATTAAGGGATATGGGGATAAGGCGGGTAGGTGGAGTTAGATAGATCAGCCATGATCTTATTGAATGGCGGGGCAGGCTAGAGGGGCCGAATGGCCTACTTCTGCTCCTAATTCTTATGTTCTTATGTTCAACTCCAGCAGTACCTCAACACACACTCTGGGGATCTTCAAGCCCTGGCTCTTGGCCAGTTGCATCTAAACTCTTTGGACCTGGCTAATCAAGGGTGCACTTCTCTTGGGAGAGAATGTGCACCCCATTACCAGATAAACAAAAATATCCATACATATGTGAAAGTTTCAGTAGTTTGGTTTGGATATTCTTAAGCATAAGGTTTGCACATGTCGGACATCCAGCTAACCAATTTTTGGAGCATTAAGTCAAAAATATTTCAAATAAAGCTAGAAGTTTCAAGATACCACACTTACAGGAGCTGGAGTATAGGTGTAAGGAGAATAAAACTCATCATTGTACGTTGTACTTGAATAGCTGAAAGAGAAAAAATAGAAGCACGTGTGAAACATTGGCTGTGTAAAGCACTTTGAGACATCCTCCTGATGTGAAAAGCACTATATAAATGTAAATTAAAGTTTTAAAGTTTAATTAAAAGTTTAATTTTTAAAGTTAAAGTAAAGTAAAGTTTTGAAAATAATGTAGAGTCCAAATATCTTACAGGCAAACTGTAAGATATTTGGACTCTACATTATTTTCAAAACTTCATAATCAGATGTTTATTTACAGAAATACTGTATATAAATTTTCATACTGAATTTCAAAAGATTTGTAGGATTTATCAGAGCTGTAACTGAGGAGAAAATGTTGCTGTGACTTTCTCTGAAAGAGAAATAAAAATGGATTATCTTTGTTTGCTTACCAAATACACAGTCACTGCATGTGAAAGCAATTATTGTGAAGTGCTTTCATATTAAAAGTCCTGAAAAATTCAAATTCATTTGTAGTGGAGGAATATATAAGTCACTTTTGTGCAATAAACATCTTGGTGAGGTGAGTTTTGCGCAACTGCTCATAAAATAGCCTCAACCAAGAAGGCGAGGAGGTGCTGAACTTGAACATAACAAGATTTATTATGCCAAAATACAGTGCTGAGGTCTGTCTCTGGACCTCTGTGCTGAGATCCTGGCCTCTCCTTCACCCTGAATCAGAGGAGTAGAGGTACCCCAAACCCCATAGAGATTTGCTGAATCACTTGGACTGCCATAACAACAACAACTTGGATTTATATAGTGCCCTCCACACCAGAGGGCGTCTCAGAGCGCTTCAAGACGCCGTCCGGCGCTCAGCACGCTATCATGTGCCTCCTTGCAGCAGCAGATTGGAAGCAGGCCACCTGCACATGCTCCTATAGATACACATTCCTTCTTGCCGACTTTGACTTTTGTGTTCCCAATTCTGGTCCATCGTACCACTGGTCATATTGTAATGACTGAGAAGAACTAACTATCTTGCCAGTGGATTTTAGCCATTGTTGGTGGGAGGCCAGCGAGTAGATTTGTTTGCAGGCTTTAAGTACCAAGTATTCTACAATGTAGCATATGATAACAATGCTTCACATCTGTTAGTGAAAGTTGCTTCTAATTCACGCTCAATCCTCAATAATTGTTGGCTGGATGATTCTGGCATTAATCTTACACTTATAGAGATTGAATGGCAAAATTCAAACTGTTTCAGTCAGGCCATAATCTTTAGCATGATCCAGAACTCACAGCTGCTTGTCATATAATTCACAATAATGGGCGAGATCAGTTTAACTACGCAGAGAATTTATTGCCAATAATTTAATTTAGCCCTTTCATTTTCTATTTTTGTCTCCTGAAGGCAGTGGCATTTGGGATATGGTCCGATGGGTCCCAATAGATATCAAGTGCCTCTTTTGTTTTGTTTGTTTTTGCTCGAGACTGAAAGAACCTCTGTTTCTATTAATCAGTGAAATTGGCATATAATTTTACCAGTCTGATACTGATCCTTACTTACTTTGTTACCAGCCTCCTTGCCAACTGGATTTAACACCTTAATTACTCTATTTTGGAAACCAAATACTCACAATTTATTGTGGTCTGGGCTATGCCTTGGTAGTACTGCACGATAGTTTTCAGGGTACCCAGTGTCTCTATAAATTGAGGNAAAAAACATATGCAGATTACCGGAGATTACAAAGTGTCACGAAACACAGGTTTAAAATTACATTAACTAGTCTAGTCTAATTCTCCTACTTGCTCCCCATACCCTCCAATATTTTTTTCGAACATCTATCTATTCCACACAAATAAAAGCAAGGTATTATATATAGGAAGCAAAAATAGAAAACACATGTATTCCATAGATGAAATAGAATTTACCGTAGAAAAAGCTGAAAGACATCTAAGGATGTTGGTTGACTCAGTATGTCGAAACAGTGTGAGGCAACAATAAACAAGGCAAACAGAATACTGAGATATTGCCAAATCAGATGAGTGCAGGTACTTAGAGGTGCTACTCAAGCTATACAGTGCTTTCTAGTTGGGCTGACCCTGGACTACTACAACAATTTTGGCTATTCAGGTCTTACAGGCAGTGCAGATTACAATAATAATAATCCTTGCATTTGATATAGGGCTTTTCACATCTTCTAGACGTCTCAAAGAGCTTCACAAGGTTTAGAGTTGCAAGCGGCAACTTCAGCACAGACACCTGGAAGTATTTCTTTTCATGGAGGCTAATCAATGTGTACAAAATGCATAGTGATTCCACTTTACAGTAATGTCTTAAGCACTTCAACACAGAAATGTTTAGAAATTTATGGCACAGTAATTATCTGTGAAGAAATGTAATGTGCTGATGTGCTAAGTGTATGATGTGCTAAAATACCATAAAATTACAAGTTCTTTCTTCTTCAGATGAATATTTTAGCATAGATGACCTCAAGATGATTATTCTTTTTTGCTCAGCTGGGTGCCTCACACGTGGAAACCCATCAAGCCTACTAATGATAATAATAATAATAATCCTTGCATTTGATATAGCGCCTTATTACGTCATCTAGAAATCTCAAAGTCCTTCACATGATATACTGTAAAGTGAATTGATTGACTGTATTTTGTGGCCAAAAACGATTAAAGATTAAGACTGTTTCTGTTTTAACCACGAACACATCTCTCATTTCACCAATAGTAGGTGTTACAAAACACAGTCATTATATTTTACAGTAAAGTCTACGAAGCGATTTGGAAAGTCCCTCCAACGTGAAAAGTGCTCTACTGTATATCAAGTGCAAGGATTATTATTATTGGGACATTTAATCTAACCATATTAGCTGATATTCAAATTGGGTGCTTTGTCTGCTGTAATTTGGTTTATTTGTGAGCTATTATTAATTTTATTCATTTTTGCATCGATTTGTTTGTCACTGACCATCAGGTTTGGGATGTGGAATCATGAGTAAACTGAGAACAACTTAACTTAAGGGGTTTGGTATTTTTCCTGAGGAAAAGATCTGTGCACTTCACTGCATAAACAATTAGCTTTGTTTCTTTCAGAGCCAATATAGGTAAGCAAGATATATAGTCAATTTTGTCTCTTTTAAAAATGATGTAGTGCACTTACTAAATACATCATGTGGCAACTACCCCAGTAAAACATGTTCAGTTAATGTGTATGGTTAAGATTACTTCCACAATACTTATCAATTTATGAACTTGTATTGTACTGAGGCAGCAAATAAAAGTGAGCAGGAAACCTTTGAGACATTTAACAGTGTGCTTTTGGGTACCAAAGCAACCTTTTCCAGTTATAGGGGTTTTATAACTGCTAATTTTAGCAATCAGTATAAAATACATTTTTCTGCAATTCTTTACTGTGCGTAAAACATCATAGCAAATCCATTGTTTCCACATGTTCTCAAGTGTCTTTAATACTAATAATCCTTGTATCTGATATATGGCCCTATCATGTCATCGAGATGCCTCAAAACCCCTCACAGGATATACTGTAAAGTGATGTGACGGGTGTATTTTTTGTGGGCAATCGCAACAGTCAATTTGTGCACAGCAATGACTGTACACAGAAAAATAGATAATAATCTAAGGAAGCGGATTAAAATCAGAGGTAAGAGGGGAATGAGATACCAAGATGTGCTTTCACTGCAGGATCTTGGTTTCGCTCCAACTCAAGAATGATAGATGAAAGTCACTTCTGTCAGGCAGCTGAAAAAGTTTCCTCTCATTGCTGCCAATGTGTGTTAGAGAAATCTTAAATTAGTCCCCACTAGGCATCAACTGATAGTATTGAACTGAGTCTATAAACAAGAATGGGCTGCTGTAAAAAAAATGGAAAATATAGCATTGGTGAAGCAAGGATACTTTGCTGAAATTGGAGTTAAGGCAGAGGAGTTGAAGTTATGGCCTGTTTATGGCCAAAGGCACAGGCACTTGACTCTGACTCGAACCTATGCTATTTTGGACCCGACACTTAATGCTGACACTGGGTGCCCAAAATGTGAAACTCTTTCATCTCCCTAAATTAATAATCTTTATCTTGATAAGCATAAAATTCAAAAGGTAAGCAAAGAGGGAAAAAACAATATAGCGTTTGCACAAATAGTTCAATTACTTTGAACACACAGAAACACTTAGCAAGTAAATAGTCTAAAGTTGGTTTTATTCAACAAATTCTGCTTATGGGTGCAATCGCTAAAAATAGCAACCTTTTTGCTACATCTTTATCAATATCTGGAAGTTTGAATGTTAGAATTAAAAAAAAAGAAAACCTGATAACCCTTACATTGTCGGAATTCTTACCTTTTGAATTCCAAAGTTTTTACAGCTTCCTTGTTCATTAATAATTTGTGAATTTTTTTATTGTAGTCATCCTTTAAATTAATTTGATTCATTTGCGAATTTGTTGTAGTACTCCAGTCCTGTAACAATTAATGTGTTACTTTACTTTTTTTATATAGTAATTCTGTTGAATCCTGCAGTTTCCCTCCTCCACCCTCACCACCAAAACCAACATAAACCATAGCAAAACCACCAGCCAACTAGCAGTCCATCCATATTCACTGTCAAGGTTCTGCTATCAATGTGGAATATGAAAAGGTTTCAGCCTGGCTCAGTTCGTAGGACTCTTATCTCTGAGTCAAAAGACAGAAGCGTGTGGGCTCAGGACTTTGAGTTTATGGTTTAGACTGACACTGTACTGTTAAAATTGCTGTTGTTTGGATGAGATGTTCAACTAACGTCTTCTTTGTGCCTGTTCCTGCCTGTTTAGGTGGATGTTAAAGATCCCACAGGGAAGGTTGTATGAAATAAAATGCAAGGATTAGTATTATATTTAAAAGGATTTATATTACATTCCACCCCTTCCCACCCTGCTCATTAATCCCCATTGTCTTCATAAAGCATTTTGAGACATGATCCTATGCTATGAAGGCGCTACATAAACGCATTAAGAAATGCTTGTAAATAAACTAAGTGCAATCAAAATAAACTCAGAAAAAAATGCACAAAGAATTACAGTAAAACAAATACACCACTTGACCATTCAAGTCTGCTGCAATTTGTTGTATATTTAAATTGTTTCATTGTTGAAGTATTGCAAGAATTAGTAATCTAAGAGAGATGGGGAAAAAAGAGAAGGAAAACATTCATAGCACATAACATTTATAATGTGCTTGGCACCGTTTTAAATTTCAGAACCAGTGCTATTTTATGTCTTGGATATAATGTGGGCCTCACCAAAAATTACCTCTCATACTGCCACCTAGTGTTGCTGTACATCACATACTAATTCCTAAGGAAAATAGTAGCTGCTGGTCAGAGAAAAAATTATTTTGAGAAAATCTGACAAGTCAATACTTGTATCTGATACGTGGTCCATCAACAGTCTATTTTTACTCCAGTATTACAAGTTTTGCGGTGAAAATGAGATGTAGGTTGAAACAAAAAGATGGTATTTTATGCACAATACACTGTTATTTAAACTGTTGCATAGGAATTGGAACATTGTTCACAAGACCAACTGTCTACAACTATAATTTCAATTGCATCAAATAGTTGGTAGAAGTACTTAACTGTGAAAAGTATCAGTTATTTGTTATCTGTACAGATAACCTTAAAAAACAAACATTTCTAAGTTCACCAATATTGAGGTATAGAAGTATTATGTGGGGATATCAGAACGCCTATGTGTATGGATCACTTTAGTTGTAATATTGGATAGTATTGCACCCATTATGTATGATAAGTATGAAAGTAGAATAGAACCGATAGTTCTGTTCCTTCACATCCAACCAAGAACACTCTGGTATCCAATTGGTAACTGACGACTCTTAACACAAACATATTATGATTTAAGTACAATTATAATGGAACATGGCCTGGAAGCATCAAATAAGAATAGTTGATATATACATCATAGTCGATAATAAACTTCAAGGCAAATGTTCATTGATCAGTTTTGTTTACACAAATGTGCCAGTCAAGCTAAAATATCAAGAGAAATCCATAATTAGATGGCTACCTTGAATCCAATGTAACTTGTAACATTCTTCATAAAATCTATTTTGTAGAGTTAAATTTTCTGTGGGTGTAATAATAATAAATAATAATAATAGGAAGGGAAAGGAGGCCACCAAGCTTGTTTCACCAGTTTATTAGATCTAAGCCAAATTTGTAATCCCAATGCTCTACTCTTTCAACATACTCATTAATACCTCCACTCTCTCACTTTTAAACATCGCTATTGATTTCTCCATTACAGCTTTCTGGAGTAGAGCATTCCACATCTTTGCAATCCTTTGTTTGATGAAATATTTCATGACCTCAGTTATAACTGTCTTCGTTCTGAGTTTACGGTTATGCCTCCTTGAAATATAAGGTTTTATAGGAATATAACTCCAGCCTACCAACACCTCTCACCATAGTTGGAGTCCTGTAGCCCAGTGGCTACAGCACTCACTTTGCAAGTGAGAGACCTGAGTTCAATTCCAGGCAGGGCGAAACCTTGGGCAAGTTTCCTTACTCCACACACCTAATAATAATCCCTCCAAAACCAAAAACAATAATAAATTGGTCATTTTCAATCTACAACTGTTTGTGGGACATTGCTGTGCGCAATTGGCTGCTGCGTTCGCCCACAAATATACAGTCAATTCACTTTACAGTGTGTTCTGTGAAGTGCTTTGGGATGTCCTCCCGACGTGAAAAGCGCTATATCAAATGCAAGGATTATTATTATTAGTTTAGGGCCTGCAGTGCAGGAATTAAGGTACTGAACCACTGCTGGATGCTCTCCAAGATGGAAATGAATGAGATGCATCTGGCTTAGGGAAAGTTCCAAAACATGTGAGTTGATTTTCCACCTGTTAACAATTTGGATGCCCTGTAGGAAATGGTGTTCAATCACATTTGGATATTATTATGCTGATTTGCAAATCCCAACATAGGTTTTACACAGCCCTAAATCTCTTACACTCTAAATCTTTTATTCAGTGGAGTAAAAACAAGAATTTTGCCAATTGATGTGACATGAATGTAATTAACTTTGGTAACAATGTAATCTCTGAATGGTTAGATTGTGCTTTTAGGAGCCAGGTCAGTACTGAGGCTATACCTGCAGACCCAAGTCGATATATTTGAAGTTTTTAAAAATATCTTTCAAAAATGTCAGTTAAAATGAGTGCGCAAATCATAATGATGTACAGTATAATCATGGACTAATACCAAATAGTTTTGCATGTACTGATCTGAACTATAATACTGTATGCCTGATGACATATTTCCAGTAATAGTTTTATTCTGAAAGCACCCTGTTATGTAACAGTGGTTGAAATAAATTTCTCTACAGTGAAAGGCATGACTCAAGTCAACTTCTCTATGAATATCGTAATCAAAGGGTTCAATGACAAAAAAGGATCACTTGACACTGGATATTCCAGGAGGGCGAATGTGCAACAAGATAAAAGTTTAAAACTCATATGTAAACTGGATTTAAGAAACTTATATAGAGCAGGAAATGATGATACTGGTGTTGAATTATTGGGAATTCGGTGAGTAATTCTTAATGGAGATTTCTGTGGAGGCTATATGCCGTTTTCCAATCACAATTGGGAGTAGCCACTTGTAATCAGTCTTTATTAATGACTCACATTATGACTCACTGTAATTTAGACACCGCCCCACCCCCTTGCCCGAGACATAAAATGAGAAAAATTGGTCGAAAGACTTAATATGTGGTTGTAGAACTTCAGAAAACATTTGTCATTCTATATTGGTAGCCATTGCATCCACAAACTTACTGGATTTACAGAAGTCACACAAAAGGGTTTTCAGAGAACATCTTACAAGAGGAGAGAGTTGGTTTTGCAATAGGGTGGCAAGGACTTGATGCCAATCTAACCCTTCACCTGTAACCAGCTGATTTCAAATATTATGGATAGGTGTTCCCAAATGCATACCATTGTGTTTTTGTTACTCCAGCAAATCTGGAATACCTGTTTGAGGCATTAAAAATACCAACATCTGGTGCGTTTGGTTGACGTGTCTCTCTGTTGTGCTCCAGTTGCTCACCTTTGAATGGTGGTCACCAAAGACAGGCCTGGGGAAGATCCAGATGATGAATATTCTAATCAGACATTGTGCACCCTTTTCTCTGAAAAGTAACAGTATCATCCAATTGATGCAGACTATCTGCAGATTTGATGTCCTCCTGCACTTAGTCACAGTTCTTCTTTGAAATGGTTAAATTCTCAGAATTCAGCAGAACTAAATTAAAATGATTTATTATGTAAAGATGTGAAGGATTATACAGTACCATTGAGTGTTTTGCACAATGCTCTACATCGCGGATATATCAGATTGAGGAAGAATCGATGAAATTAAGACACAGTGCTTTACATACATGAATGAATGATAAACGTATCAAGCAGAAATAAAGTAAAACATTACAACAGCGCTTACAAACTAATTTTAGTGCACTCAGAGATTAATCTATCCTATACTTACCAGATGCCAGCACTCTGTGAAATTACTTTCTGCATCATGGAATATATAGAACTGATTTCCATTCTTACAGTCAGTGGGTATATTTTTTGTGCTTCCAGTCCTGTGATCTACTTGAAATTATATTGTGTACATTTTACTTTGCTACCTGTTTTAATTTGTATTGTATAATAATATAATAATAATCCTTGCATTTGGTATAGCGCCTCATCACGTCAGAAGGACGTCTCAAAGCGCTTCACAGGATTTACTGTGAAATGGAGTGACTGTGAAATTTGTAGGCAAATACAGTAGCACATGTCCCATAAACCAGCCATGAAACCAGTGACCAATTTATTTGTGGGATTGTTGCCCAGGACATCAAGAAAACTCCCTTTTTTCAAATAGTGCCATAGAATCTTTAACCTGAACAGGCAGATGGGACCTCAGTTTAACGTCTCATCTGAAAGACTGCACCTCTGACAATGCAGCATACACTAGTAATGCACTGGAGTGTCATCTTGGGATGAAGTCCCGACACGGAATTTGAACCCACAACCTTCTGTCTCAGAAGCAAGCTAACCTCGATCCACATGCGGTAATCGTACAGGATTTGTGGATTTTTTGTTCATGGGTATCATAACCAAGGGATGTGTTTGACCCTCTGTGATCGCTACCATTAATTTCTTGGCAAAGAAACTTCAGGAACTCTGACTAAATTCCTGCTTCTCAAAATGGGGATTAAATTTGGTCCATTTGTCCATCTTCATCTTGATTTTGCAATCTTTGTTTTCACCAGAGTGTGACGTTAGAATCATTAGCACTCAGTAGTGAGTGTATCTACAAAACATACAATCAACCTGCTTTATAGTATACCTGTAAGGCACTTACTCCCAACGTGAAAGGCTCTATATCAAATGGAAGGATAATAATAATCATAATCTTTGTATTTGATATTGTGGAGTCCTGTAGCTCAGTGGTTAGAGCACTCGTCTTGCAAGTGAGAGACCTGGGTTCAATTCCAGGCAGGGCGAAACCTTGGGCAAGTTCCCTTACTACACACACCTAATAATAATCCCTTCAAAAAACAAAAACATTAATAAATTGATCATTTTCAATCCACGACTGTTTGTGGGACACTGCAATTGGCTGCAGCGTTTTGCCCACAAATATACAGTCAATTCACTTTACAGCATATTCTGTGAAGCGCTTTGAGACATCTAGAAGATGTGAAAAACGCTATATCAAATGCAAGGATTATTATTATTATCATTAGTGCCTTATCACATCTTCGAGATGTCTCAAAGTGATTCATAAAATGTACTCTAAAGTGAATTGACTGTGTATTTTGTGGGCGAAACCCGGCAGCTTATTGCGCACAGCAGTGTCCCACAAGTCGTGGATTGAGTAACCAAATTGTTTTTTTAATTTTTGGAAGTGATTATTAACCCCAGAAAAGCAATCCGCCAATCAGGTCCCTGCATACTGCTCGGTAAACAGAGGCGTGTGGAGTAAGAGAACTTGCCTAACGTTTCACCCTGCCAGGAATCGAACTAAGATCCTCTCACTTGCGAGGCAAGTGCTCTAACAAATACGTTACTGGACTCCACCTGATATATTCTTGGAGCTACTTCCATGAACCCCTCCAAAAGACCCACATGATAAAAAAAACAGGTTTATTTAAGGATTATGATTACATACCTTGTTGCTCATTGAGAATGGGTGTGGAATAGTTCAGATTACCTCCTATTAGGTGCTGTAATTTATAAATGGTATTATGCAAAAATGCTGTTCCTATTAGAATCTACAAGATAGGCTGTAAATAAATGTACTTGCCTCCATAAACAGTCTAACATGCTTTAATAATGACACAAACTGCTGAAAATCAAATCATAATCAAGCAGATCAGTCAACAGATGAAGGGGAAAAATAAATTAATTTGTCAAGTAACAAGATTGGTTCAGATGACCATCACTCAGCCCATCTGATCTCATCCCTCCAATAGTACCAACCTCAGTGTCCTTCCATCACCATCAAGCTTTTTTTAAATTAGTACAGTGTCGTGTCCTCAACCACGCTTCTTGGTAACCTACAACTCTTCTACCATCACAAGGGAATTTTGGGCCCTACTGTGATCTGCAAATTGTGGACAGGCAGTGAACAAAGTGACCAATTTCAATGTCAAAGGTATTTCCCACGTGATGACTCTTGAGTCAGTCCTATCTGAGTAACTATTTCACCCCAAGGATAAAGTAAAATATAAATTGTAAACAGAAACTGTGCGCTAAATTACTCATACAATTCAAATGAATTTCTTACTCCTTCACGAGTTCCAAACCGTTTATATGTCGATAGTCTTAGGTTTTTCTGATTCATTTGAACATCATCTATATCATAATCCTTTGGTTCAGCTTCCCTGCGCTGATACCTGCAGAGAAAAAAAGATGAATGTGTGGTGATGTGTTTGATTTGATTACATGTTTTTTTCCCTTAAAATAGATGATTATGCACTGATTTCAAAACCCAAACTTATTTTATGACAAACAAAATATATTTTGTTGTCTGCATATTAACATTGTACCTGAGGTCTGTGGTTTAATTGTTGTTGTTTATTTGGTTCACATTAGATTGGTTACTTATTAGGATTACTGTGGAGCCCCATTACAACACAGTTGTTGGGATTCATAAAATCCCAACCTCCACTGTACTGAGGGGAGATGATCTGTTTCACTGAGCATGCAGGTAGCTAGTCAGCCTCTCCCTACGTGTTAGCTCATTCCCACATGGCCAAATACCAGTCATCAGTTTGCTGCTGATGTCACTTTCTGTATACTGTACATGAGCAAAACAAGTAGTAATATCAGGGGCAACATGATGGCCCTTAAAGTTGGTTATTCTAACATGAGAACCAGCTGGGTGAGGGAAGTAATGTATTAATTCACACTGTTACCACATCATAAAACATTCCACCCTAATTTATCAATTGGCTACAGATAATTATACGGGGTGTTCATAAAGTCCTGTTAACCCCATGTTTTTTTTACACAGTGAACTGATCAACAATTGAAACATGTGGAAGAATGATGATAATTGTATTCAGAAATACTTAATTGCATTCAGTACAATTGTTTAACTGTATTTAGACGTCCTGAGGATCAGTGTGTGTGAACGCCATCATTTTCATGGCAGATAATGATCCTTCGCTATGTTTAGTGCCACATCTTCCGTAACATGATGGAGTCACGAGGTGAAGTGTATATCTGACAACTTATTTTCGCTCCTCTATAGTCTCATATTGCTGTTTAGTAACAGGGGCTAGAGCTTTAAATTTGTTAGGCTGGATAAGAATTCAAGATAAGCCAGAGGTTTACTGTATAGATATAGATCACAACAGCTGGATCCAAACCTGACTCATAGCTGCCCCTGGACCTACCAGCCTATGAATTAAAGCATTGGTCGCAGGGTACCAATTTTCTTCTGATCGTTTGGTTAAGCTGAGTTAACTGGCAAGTCACTTTTCAGTGTTGATTTGATGCAATGTAGAATAGGGAATACAATACAAAATGAAAACTTCCCTCTCCACACTTCGATACTGCTGGGGATTAAGCCACTTGTCCAGTGCCTTGGGACATCCTCCTGACATGAAAGGCGCTGTACAAATGTAATTTGGTATTGTATTGTATTCTCAACACAGCAGTGAGCACATCATTAAAAGGCTGCCTAAACATCAGGATCTATTTTTTTCAAAAAAGGTTTGATTTCCAAAAATATATAATAGATTAAGCAACTTTAACATATTTTTGTTTCTATCCTTTATTTTTAAATGAGTAGTAATAGACTCGCTCAATAGCAGTTGTAGAGCATTATCAGTACTTAAGAATAACCACTTGAATTTGTATGCAGTAATGCCCTTTACATGGTAGTGTCTTGGAGTGCTTAATTTTGACAAGCTTCAATATCCAGCCAGCAGGGCAGCATTCGCTCTTACCTATACCATAGCATTGTAAGAGAAAGGGTACAATGTATGGCTCAGGGCAAAGTGCACGTTTATTTCAAACTTACCAGTTTGAGGTCAGGGTAGGTCTACTATAAAATCCCAAAGTATTCGAGCGGAGAGAAAGAGATCCTTTACGATCCACATCTTCGGGTGCAAAATCCATCTCTTTCTGTTGAACCAACTATTCCTCCTAACCTCACTTTCACTGTCCTGTATATGTGTGCAGGTCACTTACACCTTCACCTTGCACTCTCTAATTGGCCACAGTGCAGCTCACTACTCTGAATGTCCTTTGTCGCTTTGATCTTTAATTCCTTTTATCTCTCATTAACTTTACTTTCTCACCTATTGGTTGTCTATTTTTTGTTCTCTTTCTTGGCTTCTGTTTCTAGAGTCTCCCTCTCTGAGTGTGTGTGTTTCTGTGTGTGTGTGTCTCTCTCTCTCTCCCTGAGTTTGTGTGTGTCTGTCAGTCTCTGTGAATCCCTGTGTGTGTGTGTGTGTGTGATCTCTGAGTCTCTATCTGTGTGTCTCAGTGTGTGTGCCTCTCTGAGTCTGTGTGCGTCTCTCTCTCTGTATCTCTGTCTCCGAGTCTCTGTATTTCTCTCTCTGGCTGTTTATAGAAATAGTTTATGTCTCTAACTCTCTAACTAAGTGTGTATAGCAGTTGTCTGTATATGACTATCTAGTAGGTAGTCTCTCTGACTGAAACTCAGTGTGTATAGCAGTAGGTAGTCTGCCTCTCTCTCTCTCTCTCTGCCTTAACCCCTCTCTATCTGTCTCTCTCTCTCTGTCTGTCTCTTTGTCTCTCTCTCTGCCTGTCTGCCTATTTGTCTGCCTGTCTCTCTGTGACGGTCTTGATGTGTCTGTCTCTGCCTGTCTTGATGTCTCTCTCTGTCTGCTTGTCTCTCTCTCTCTGCCTGTCTCTATCTGCCTGTCTCTCTGTCTCCCTGTCCCTCTCTCTGTCTCCCTGTCCCTCTCTGTGTCTCTCTGTCCCTCTCTGTCTCTCTGTCCCTTTCTGTGTCTCCCTGTCCCTCTCTCTTACTCCCTGTCCCTCTCTCTGTCTCCCTGTCCCTCTCTGTGTCTCCCTGTCCCTCTCTGTGTCTCTCTGTCCCTCTCTGTGTCTCTCTCCCTGTCTCTCTGTCCCTCTCTGTCTCTCTGTCTCCCTGTCCCTCTCGGTGTCTCTCTGTCCCTCTCTGTGTCTCTCTCCCTGTCTCTCTGTCCCTCTCTGTCTCTCTGTCTCCCTGTCCCTTTCTGTGTCTCCCTGTCCCTCTCAGTGTCTCTCTCTGTCTCTCTGTCCCTTTCTGTGTCTCCCTGTCCCTCTCAGTGTCTCTCTCTGTCTCTCTGTCCCTTTCTGTGTCTCCCTGTCCCTCCCTCTGTCTCCCTGTCCCTCTCTGTCTCCGTCCCTCTGTGTCTCCCTGTCCCTGTCTCTGTCACCCTGTCCCTCTCTCTGTCTCCCTGTCCCTCTCTGTCTCTCTGTCCCTCTCAGTGTCTCCCTGTCCCTCTCAGTGTCTCCCTGTCCCTCTGTGTCTCCCTGTCCCTCTCAGTGTCTCCCTGTCCCTCTCTGTCTCCCTGTCCCTCTCCCTGTCTCCCTGTCCCTCTCTGTGTCTCCCTGTCCCTCTCAGTGTCTCCCTGTCCCTCTGTGTCTCCCTGTCCCTCTCAGTGTCTCCCTGTCCCTCTCTGTCTCCCTGTCCCTCTCCCTGTCTCCCTGTCCCTCTCTGTGTCTCCCTGTCCCTCTCAGTGTCTCCCTGTCCCTCTGTGTCTCCCTGTCCCTCTCAGTGTCTCCCTGTCCCTCTGTGTCTCCCTGTCCCTCTCCCTGTCTCCCTGTCCCTCTCTGTGTCTCCCTGTCCCTCTCTGTGTCTCTCTCCCTGTCTCTCTGTCCCTCTGTCTCCCTGTCCCTCTCAGTGTCTCTCTCTGTCTCTCTGTCCCTTTCTGTGTCTCCCTGTCCCTCTCTGTGTCTCCCTGTCCCTCTCTGTCTCCGTCCCTCTGTGTCTCCCTGTCCCTGTCTCTGTCACCCTGTCCCTCTCTCTGTCTCCCTGTCCCTCTGTCTCCCTGTCCCTCTCAGTGTCTCCCTGTCCCTCTCAGTGTCTCCATGTCCCTCTCAGTGTCTCCCTGTCCCTCTCTGTGTCTCGTCCCTCTCTCTGTCTCCCTGTTCCTCTCAGTGTCTCCCTGTCCCTCTCTCTGTCTCCCTGTCCCTCTCTCTGTCTCCCTGTCCCTCTCTGTGTCTCCCTGTCCCTCTCTGTGTCTCCCTGTCCCTCTCTCTGTCTCCCTGTCCCTCTCTGTGTCTCCCTGTCCCTCTCTGTGTCTCTCTCCCTGTCCCTCTCTGTGTCTCTCTCCCTGTCCCTCTCTGTGTCTCTCCTCCCTGTCTCTCTATCCCTCTCTGTCTCTCTGTCTCCCTGTCCCTCTCAGTGTCTCTCTGTCCCTCTCTGTGTCTCCCTGTCCCTCTCTCTGTCTGCCTGTCCCTCTCTGTGTCTCCCTGTCCCTCTCTGTCCCTCTCTGTGTCTCCCTCCCTGTCTCTCTATCCCTCTCTGTCTCTCTGTCCCTTTCTGTGTCTCCCTGTCCCTCTCTGTCTCCCTGTCCCTCTCTCTGTCTCCCTGTCCCTCTCTGTCTGTCTCCCTATGTCCCTCTATGTCTCCCTATGTCTCCCTATGTCCCTCTCTGTCTCCCCATGTCCCTCTCTGTCTCCCTATGTCCCTCTCTCTGTCTCCCTATGTCCCTCTCTCTGTCTCCCTGTCCCTCTCTGTCTCCCTATGTCCCTCTCTCTGTCTCCCTGTATCCCTGTCCCTCTCTGTCTTCCTGTCCCTCTGTCCCTCTCTGTCTCCCTGTGTCCCTCCCTATGTCCCTCTCTGTCTCTCTATGTCCCTCTCCGTCTCCCTGTGTCCCTCTCTGTCTCCCTGTGTCCCTCTCTGTCTCCCTGTGTCCCTCTCTGTCTCCCTGTGTCCCTCTCTGTCTCCCTGTCCCTCTCTGTCTCCCTGTGTCCCTCTCTGTCTCCCTGTCCCTCTCTGTCTCCCTGTGTCCCTCTCTGTCTCCCTGTGTCCCTCTCTGTCTCCCTGTGTCCCTCTCTGTCTCCGTGTCCCTCTCTGTCTCCCTGTGTCCCTCTCTGTCTCCCTGTGTCCCTCTCTGTCTCCCTGTCCCTCTCTGTCTCCCTGTGTCCCTCTCTGTCTCCCTGTGTCCCTCTCTGTCTCCCTGTCCCTCTCTGTCTCCCTGTGTCCCTCTCTGTCTCCCTGTGTCCCTCTCTGTCTCCCTGTGTCCCTCTCTGTCTCCCTGTCCCTCTCTGTCTCCCTGTGTCCCTCTCTGTCTCCCTGTGTCCCTCTCTGTCTCCCTGTGTCCCTCTCTGTCTCCCGGTGTCCCTCTCTGTCTCCCTGTGTCCCTCTCTGTCTCCCTGTGTCCCTCTGTGTCTCTCTCTCTGTCTCCCTGTGTGTCTCTCTGTGTCCCCCTGTGTGTCCCTCTCTGTCTCCCTGTGTGTCTCTCTGTCTCCCCCTGTGTGTCCCTCTCTGTCTCCCTCTCTGTCTCCCTGTGTCCCTCTCTGTCTCCCTGTGTCCCTCTCTGTCTCCCTGTGTCCCTCTCTGTCTCCCTGTGTCCCTCTCTGTCTCCTGTGTCCCTCTCTGTCTCCCTGTGTCCCTCTCTGTCTCCCTGTGTCCCTCTCTGTCTCCCTGTGTCCCTCTCTGTCTCCCTGTGTCCCTCTCTGTCTCCCTGTGTCCCTCTCTGTCTCCCTGTGTCCCTCTCTGACTGCTTTGCTGTGTCTCTTGACTCAGTGTCTATAGTAGTAACCGCATCACTCTGGGGATTGAATGAGCGCGGCGGGAAAAAATAGTGCCGATCTCTCAGCATTCACTTGGCTCGATTTGTGAACTTGGACACAAGGAATTAAAAAAAAACGTAAATGAAGTATAAAAGGATCAGGAAAATAACACTTCCGAGGAGCGTTTGTCCTGATCAAAGCAGTAACTATAGCGTTGCTATGGACGCTGAGGGGCGGCGCACGGAAGGAATCACATAAAAAAATCTCTCCGCAACACCGCCCCCCCCCTCGGAACTACTTTATGAGAGTGGGAGGAGCCTGGAGTGACTGACCACTGCACTGGTCACTGGCTACACACACACACACAGACACACAGTCACTGACTGGCAGCAACTGCACCACCAGCAAATTATATTCATGTTAATAATAATAATCCTTTGCATTTGATAGAGGGCTTTTCACGTCGGGAGGACGTCCCAAAGCGCTTCACAGAACGCACTGTGAAGTGGCCCTAATCTTATGTTGCCATAGATTAGGGCCACTGAGTCTCCAGAGAGGGCTCTTTATTATAATATTAAATAATAATCCTTACAAGCGCCTTTCGCATCAGGAGGACTTCTCAAAAGGCTTTGCCCACCGACCTGCTTCGGACTGGATCGAAGCAACTCTGTGCAGTCCGAAGCATTGTCCGCCTCGAACCAAAAAATCCAGCCGTCATTCTCACAGTAAACACAGACGCTTACCTGCGAGCATGTGGCTGGCTGGATGTCTGTGCGCACCTGCCAGCCTAGCCAGAACAGTTTGAATTGTTTAAAACGGGTTAAAACCACATAGCTTGTCATTGAGAGCACCATCTGGCAACCTTCCCTCTTGTTTGCTTATCCAGTTCGGACCACCCTACCAGTTAGGGCTTTGGCTTGCAGGATTAGCAGAGTGGGAAAAATCCATGTTTGCCAAAAATACACAGTCAAAACAGTACAAAATATACACTACAATAAATCCTGTGAAGTGCTCTGAGACATCCTCCCAATGTGAAAGGCAAGTGAGCAGGTAGTGAGCAAAGAACTTCAGGGACAAACCTACATTGTAACTATGGTATTCCAACAACTGCTTGTCCACCAAAATTTTGCTCCAATCAGTTTCATACTCTATTATAATTTGAATCCCCCCTGATGCAGCCTTAACCATATCTGTATTTTAAACCAATAAATGCTCCTCAGTGTAGCTGTGTAAAAAAAAGCTGACTAAAGTTGGTTAACTCAGGATTTACCAAAGAATCTGGAGTGCAAATTACACACTGCATCAGCAAATTCAGACAAAAAGGGAAGTTATTTTTGACTTGGCAAAACGGTTAATTAATAATAGTCCTGTAGCTCAGTGGTTAGAGCACTCGCCTTGCAGGCGAGAGACCTGGGTTCAATTCCAGGCAGGGCGAAACCTTGGGCAAGTTTCCTTACTCCACACGCCTAATAATAATCCCTTCAAAAAACCAAAACAATAATAAATTGGTCATTTTTAATCCACAACTGTTTGTGGGACACTGCTGTGCGAAATTGGCTGCCGCGTTCGCCCACAAATATACAGTCAATTCACTTTACAGTGTGTTCTGTGAAGTGCTTTGGGACGTCCTCCCGACGTGAAAAGCGCTATATCAAATGCAAGGATTATTATTATTATTATTAATAATAATAATTAATATGCTGAAACCATTTGAAACAAATGGCACAGTTAATAAAATTCCCTGCCGACAATGGAGTCTGGATATCTGCTAAAATATTTATTGGAATCCCAACGGTCAGATAAAGTTCACCACTACAGTTCCTTAGCAACAAATTAGGAAAGAGACATCTGTAATGCCATATTGTTTTACACAAATGAGTATTCCTGTATACACTGTATAAAAATAATCACTTAGCAAAATCTCAGGCCCTCTGTGGTGCCCTTAAGAACGCAATTATAATTTTGGAAATCTCTTAACATTACTTCACCATTAAAAAAAAATCTTTTTTTAAAGTCAATGGGATTTTAGCATTAGAGTGTGTGGGCAGTAATGCTAACCTCTGTGTGCTCATAGGAAAGTCCTTTTTGGTTTAACAATACAATACAAATTTACATTTCGCCCACAAAACACAGAGTCGAAAACTACAGTATATCCTGTGAAGCGTTTTGAGACGTCTCGGTGACATGATAAGGTGCTATATCAAATACAAGGATCGTTATTTTTATTATTATTTATGTAGTGCCTTTCACGTTGGGAAAATATCCAAAGACACTTAACAATCCTAGCTTGGCACTCATGCTGAGGGTGGGAGCCGAGGAAGGCGGGAAGGGGAAAGAAGTCAAAGTCAAAGAAGTCAGTCTCGAGACCTTGAATGAGGTGAGGAAGGGAAGGAGCCATAGGGACTCTGGGATGGAGTTCCAGACACTGGGGTCAGATAGGCTGTAACTGTCAAAAGTATAACACCATGCTGTGGTATACGAAGCCCAGCTACAACTATATTAATTAGTCATCATGCAGTATTAAAGTAGAAGGCTGTTCCAGCAAGCACAGTTTTTTAAAATCTCATAAGGGTCGTAAGCTTTCTGCAGATATTCCTAGTGGGCCAAAGTAATATACTTAACCCAGCAACACTGAAATAGTGTAAGGTAAGATGAGATATATGACGATGACTAAAGTCATGGCTTAAATAAACTATTGGCATTTTGTTTAACCCAGAGCAGGCAAAAATATTTACACAGAGACATTACAATGAGAAAGTAACATTGCAAAACACCTTTCTTCGGCTGTAAAAATATAAATTTGTAATTATTTTTCAGCAGAAAAGTGTTAGAATGTGTTATAGCTGGTCATATAATAAACATCCTCGTGTGTGAAGAAACCATAATAATAATCTTTGCGTTTTCATATAATGTCCTAAGAAATTTCATAGGAAAGTATTTCATAGGTAATTGGTTAATTTACTTCATTGTTGTTTGTGGAACAATCCTGTGTACAAATTGGCAGCACTATTTGCCTACAAAATACATACAGTAGTCACTGCACTTTACAATAAAGTGCTTTGAGACGTTCTTTGAACATGAGGCGCTAATAATCAAATGTAAGGATTATTTATTTATTATTATTTAATTGCTGTAAATGTAGTGACTGTGCTCATGGCTGTCTATGGGATCTTACTGTAGGGAAGAAAAACAGTCATTTTGTGCATAGAAAGGTCCCATCAATAACAACTTGCATTCATTTAGCATCCTTCATGCAAGGCAGGTCTCAGAGAGTTTGAGCCATGACGAGAATAGCCAATTTACCTGAAGCATTACTGGCCAGGACACCAGGAGAAATTCCCTTATCATTTTGAAGTGTCTCAGGTTCTTTAATCTTCACCCAAATGGACACATAAGATTTCGACTTAATATCTCATTTGAAGGATGGTACCTCCAATTCCCTTTAGTAATCTCTAGCGAGTACCAGCGTTAAAGTATCAGAATAGACTGTGAGCTCAAGTCCTGACTTAAGGCTTGAATCCACAACTTTCTGAAGCGAGACTCTTTCCAACTCGGCCAAACTGACAAGTTCTATCACATCATGACTTAACTGGCCAGCTGCACTTAAGGAGATGTTTACCATCTGTCATAGTTGGCTGTGAAACATGCTCTCTAGTCACATGCGCATGGTATGTTTGAGTTTTCACATCTTTATGTACTGTAATTGCTGCATGTTAATCCTTTAAAATGCTATTAAGGTTTTGGTTCTATCTTCTGCTGATCTCTAAGAGCAGCTTTATTTATTATTATTATAACATTTTTCATGTAAAAGAAGCATCTCTAAACACTTTCCAAGAACAAGATTAATAAGTAATGAAATTAATACTATGATTGAAGGCATATGGGGAAGCTGATTTACACGAGCCAAATAACAAGATGTGCAGCCTATCAGTTAGAATTTTTGGGTGAATTTCCATGATGAGGGTCTATTTTCGATGAGCACTGAACTGCTCCACATCCCCCACCCCAACCTCCACTATCAGCAGTCGAGTCTTCAGCCTTTCTGCCCAGAACCCTCTGGAACTCCATCCCAGAGCTCCTCCGCCTTGTCCCCTCATCTCCTTCAAGAACCGTCTCAATGTCCCGAGACCTTTCTTTTTGACTGTGCCAGTAGTCACCTCCACCCATAACCTACCCCACATGTGTTCGTGTATGTCTATGGTAGGGTGTTTATGTGTGTGCATGGTACGTTAGTATGTTAGTGTATGTTAGTGTGTGATGTGTTAGTATGTTGCTGTATGGTAATGTATGTTGGTATATGTTAGTGTGTGTTGGTCTTAGTATGTTACTACATGTTACTGCATGTTGGTGTATGCTATTGTATGTTGGTGTATGCTACTATATGTTGGTGTATGTTAGTGTATGTTGCTGTATGTTGGTATATGTTGCTGCATGTTAGTGTATGTTGCTGTGTGTTGGTATATTTTACTGTACGTTGGTGTATGTTGCTGTATGTTAGTTTATGTTGGCGTATGTTGATGTGTGTTGGTGTATGTTGGTGCGTGTTGCTGTATTTTGCTGTATGCACTCGCTTTGCAAGTGAGAGACCTGAGTTCAATTCCAGGCAGAGGGCGAAACCTTGGGCAAGTTTCCTTACTCCACACAGAGCCTAATAATAATCCCTCCAAAACCAAAAACAATAATAAATTGGTCATTTCCAATCTATGACTGTTTGTGGGACATTGCTGTGCGCAATTGGCTGCCGCGTTCGCCCACAAATATACAGTCAATTCACTTTACAGTGTGTTCTGTGAAGCGCTTTGGGACGTCCTCCCGACGTGAAAAGCGCTGTATCAAATGCAAGGATTATTATTATTATTATTATTATTATTATTATTATTATTATGTTGGTGAGCGTTGGTGTATGTTGGTGTTTGTTGCCGTATGTTGATGTGTGTTGGTGTATGTTGGTGTGTGTTGCTGTATGTTGCTGTGTTGCTGTATGTTGGTGTTTGTTGCCGTATGTTGATGTGTGTTGGTGTATGTTGGTGTATGTTGCTGTATGTTGCTGTGTTGCTGTATGTTGGTGTATGTTGCTGTATGTTGGTGTATGTTGCTGTGTGTTGCTGTATGTTGCCGTGTGTTGCTGTATGTTGCTGTATGTTGGTGTATGTTGCTGTGTGTTGCTGTATGTTGCTGTATGTTGGTGTATGTTGCTGTGTGTTGCTGTATGTTGCCGTGTGTTGCTGTATGTTGCTGTATGTTGGTGTATGTTGCTGTGTGTTGCTGTATGTTGCCGTGTGTTGCTGTATGTTGCTGTGTGTTGCTGTATGTTGCTGTATGTTGCTGTATGTTGCCGTGTGTTGCTGTATGTTACTGTATGTTGCTGTATGTTGGTGTATGTTGCTGTATGTTGCCGTGTGTTGCCGTGTGTTGCTGTATGTTGCCGTGTGTTGCTGTATGTTGGTGTATGTTGGTGTATGTTGCCGTGTGTTGCTGTATGTTGCCGTGTGTTGCTGTATGTTGCTGTATGTTGCCGTGTGTTGCTGTATGTTACTGTATGTTGCTGTATGTTGGTGTATGTTGCTGTATGTTGCCGTGTGTTGCGTGTGTTGCTGTATGTGTACTGTGTGTTGTCGTGTGTTGCTGTATGTTGCCGTGTGTTGCTGTATGTTGCCGTGTGTTGCTGTATGTTGCCGTGTGTTGCTGTATGTTGCCGTGTGTTGCTGTATGTTGCCGTATGTTGCTGTATGTTGCCGTGTGTTGCTGTATGTTGGTGTATGACGGTGGGGGCGGGGCTGCCGCTGACCCGGAAGTGCTGTGGCAGAGTGTGAAGATGGCTGAGTCGGAAGAGGAGGTGGATGTTTTGGTTCAGAGAGTCGTCAAAGACATCAGCACTGTGTTCAAGAGGAACCCCAACATGTGAGTCACCCCAACACAGGCCCAGCCAGGCCCGGCCCGGCCCGGCCAGGACAGGACAGCCCGGGACAGGACAGGCCCGGCCAGGCCAGGACAGGACAGGACAGGACAGGACAGGACAGGCAGACTGGGCCAGGGAGGGGGGGAGAGAGACTGGGGGAGAGAGACTGGGGGGGGGGAGACTGGGGGGGGGGAGAGAGAGACTGGGGGGGGAGAGACTGAGGGGGGAGAGAGAGACTGAGGGGGGGAGAGAGACAGACTGGGGGGGGAGAGAGAGACTGAGGGGGGAGAGAGACAGACTGGGGGGGGAGAGAGAGAGACTGGGGGGGGAGAGAGAGACTGGGGGGGGAGAGAGAGACTGAGGGGGGAGAGAGACAGACTGGGGGGAGAGAGACTGGGGGAGAGAGAGACTGGGGGGGGGGAGAGAGAGACTGGGGGGGGAGAGAGAGAGACTGAGGGGGAGAAGAGAGACTGGGGGGGGAGAGAGAGACTGGGGGGGAGAGAGACTGGGGGGGAGAGAGAGAGACTGGGGGGGAGAGAGAGAGACTGGGGGGAGAGAGACTGGGGGGGAGAGAGAGACTGGGGGGGGAGAGAGAGACTGGGGGGGAGAGAGAGAGACTGGGGGAGAGAGACTGGGGGGGAGAGAGAGAGACTGAGGGGGGGAGAGAGAGACTGAGGGGGGAGAGACTGGGGGAGAGAGACAGATGGGGGGGGAGAGAGAGAGACTGGGGGGAGAGAGACTGGGGGGAGAGAGAGAGACTGGGGGGAGAGGGAGAGACTGGGGGGGAGAGAGAGACTGAGGGGGAGAGAGAGACTGGGGGGGGGAGAGAGAGACTGAGGGGGGAGAGAGAGAGACTGAGGGGGAGAGAGCGAGACTGGGGGGGGAGAGAGAGACTGGGGGGGAGAGAGAGACTGGGGGGGAGAGAGAGAGTGTGGGGGAGACTGAGGGGGAGAGAGAGAGAGTGTGGGGGAGACTGAGGGGGAGAGAGAGAGACTGAGGGGGAGAGAGAGAGACTGAGGGGGAGAGAGAGAGACTGGGGGGAGAGAGAGACTGGGGGGAGAGAGAGACTGAGGGGGGAGAGAGAGACTGGGGGGGAGAGAGAGACTGAGGGGAGAGAGAGAGACTGAGGGGAGAGAGCGCGAGACTGGGGGGAGAGAGACTGAGGGGGAGAGAGACTGGGGGGAGAGAGAGACTGGGGGGGAGAGAGACTGGGGGGGAGAGAGAGACTGAGGGGGGAGAGAGAGAGACTGAGGGGGAGAGAAGAGACTGGGGGGAGAGACAGACTGGGGGGAGAGAGAGACTGGGGGAGAGAGACTGGGGGAGAGAGAGAGCTGGGGGGAGAGAGAGACTGAGGGGGGAGAGAGACAGACTGGGGGGGGGAGAGAGACTGAGGGGGGAGAGAGAGACTGAGGGGGAGAGAGAGAGAGGGGGGGAGAGAGAGACTGGGGAGAGAGAGACTGGGGGAGAGAGAGAGACTGGGGGGGAGAGAGAGACTGGGGGAGAGAGACTGAGGGGGAGAGAGAGAGACTGAGGGGGAGAGAGACAGACTGGGGGGGGAGAGAGAGACTGAGGGGGGGAGAGAGAGACTGAGGGGGAGAGAGAGAGACTGGGGGGGAGAGAGAGACTGGGGAGAGAGAGTGTGAGGGGGGAGAGAGAGACTGGGGAGAGAGAGACTGAGGGGGAGAGAGACAGACTGGGGGGAGAGAGACAGACTGGGGGGGGAGAGAGAGACTGAGGGGGAGAGAGAGAGACTGAGGGGGGAGAGAGAGAGAGACTGAGGGGGGAGAGAGAGACTGGGGGAGAGAGACTGGGGGAGAGAAGAGACTGGGGGGAGAGAGAGAGACTGGGGGGAGAGAGAGACTGGGGGGGAAGAGAGACTGAGGGGGAGAGAGACAGACTGGGGGGGGAGAGAGAGACTGAGGGGGGAGAGAGAGACTGAGGGGAGAGAGAGAGACTGGGGGGAGAGAGACTGAGGGGGAGAGAGACAGACTGGGGGGGGAGAGAGAGACTGAGGGGGGAGAGAGAGACTGAGGGGGGGAGAGAGAGACTGAGGGGGAGAGAGAGAGACTGAGGGGGAGAGAGAGAGACTGGGGGGGGAGAGAGAGACTGGGGGGGAGAGAGAGACTGGGGGGGGAGAGAGAGACTGGGGGGGGAGAGAGACAGACTGGGGGGGGGAGAGAGACTGAGGGGGAGAGAGACAGACTGGGGGGGGAGGAGACAGACTGGGGGGGAGAGACAGACTGGGGGGAGAGAGAGACTGAGACGGAGGGAGAGAGAGACTGAGGGGGGAGAGAGAGAGACTGAGAGGGAGAGAGAGAGACTGAGGGGGAGAGAGAGAGACTAAGAGATAGGGAGAGAGAGAGAGACTGAGGGACGGAGAGAGAGAGACTGGGGGGGGGAGAGAGAGACTGGGGGGGAGAGAGAGACTGGGGGGGAGAGAGAGACTGAGGGGGGGGACTGGGGGGGAGAGAGAGACTGGGGGGGGAGAGAGAGACTGAGGGGGGAGAGAGACAGACTGGGGGGGGAGAGAGACAGACTGGGGGGGGGAGAGAAGAGACTGGGGGGAGAGAGACAGACTGGGGGGAGAGAGAGACTGGGGGGAGAGAGAGACTGAGGGGGGAGAGAGAGACTGGGGGAGAGAGAGACTGGGGAGAGAGACTGGTGGGGAGAGAGAGACTGGGGAGAGAGACTGGGGGGGGGGAGAGAGACTGGGGGAGAGAGAGACTGGGGGAGAGAGAGACTGGGGGGAGAGAGACTGGGAGGGAGAGAGAGAGACTGGGAGAGAGAGACTGGGGGGGAGAGGACTGGGGGGAGAGAGACTGAGGGGAGAGAAGAGAGACTGAGGGGGAGAGAGAGAGACTGGGGGGGGAGAGAGAGACTGGGGGGAGAGACGGGGGGAGAGAGAGAGCTGGGGGAGAGAGACTGAGGGGGAGAGAGAGAGACTGAGGGGGAGAGAGAGAGGACTGAGGGGGGAGAGAGAGAACTGGGGGAGAGAGACTGAGGGGGAGAGAGAGACTGGGGAGAGAGACTGAGGGGAGAGAGAGAGACTGAGGGGAGAGAGAGACTGGGGGGGAGAGAGAGACTGGGGGGGGGAGAGAGAGACTGGGGGGGAGAGAGAGACTGGGGGGAGAGAGAGACTGGGGAGAGAGACTGAGGGGGGGAGAGAGAGACTGGGGGGGAGAGAGACTGGGGGAGAGAGAGAGAGAGACTGAGGGGGGAGAGAGAGACTGGGGGGGAGAGACTGGGGGGGAGAGACTGGGGGGGAGAGAGAGGACTGAGGGGGAGAGAGAGAGACTGAGGGAGAGAGAGAGACTGAGGGAGAGAGAGAGACTGAGGGGAGAGACTGGGGGAGAGAGAGACTGGGGGAGAGAGAGACTGAGGGGGAGAGAGAGAGACTGAGGGGGAGAGAGAGAGACTGGGGGGGGAGAGAGAGACTGGGGGGAGAGACTGAGGGAGAGAGAAGAGACTGAGGGGGAGAGAGAGGACTGAGGGGAGAGATGGGGGGGAGAGAGAGAGACTGAGGGGGAGAGTGAGAGACTGGAGGGGGGAGAGAGAGAGACTGAGGGGGAAGGAGAGAGACTGAGGGGGAGAGAGAGAGACTGGGGGGAGAGAGAGACTGGGGGGGGGACTGGGGGGAGAGAGAGATGGGTGGGGAGAGAGACTGGGAGAGAGAGAGAGACTGAGGGGGGGAGAGAGAGACTGAGGGGGGAGAGAGAGACTGAGGGGGGAGAAGAAGAGACTGGGGGGGAGAGAGAGAGACTGAGGGGGGAGAGAGAGATGAGGGGAGGAGAGAGAGACTGGGGGGGGGAGAAGAGAGACTGAGGGGGGAGAGAGAGAGACTGGGGGGAGAGGAGACTGGGGGGGGGACTGGGGGAGAGAGAGATGGGGGTGGGGAAGATGGGGGTGGGGAGAGAGACTGGGAGAGAGACTGGGAGAGAGAGACTGAGGGAGAGAGAGAGAGAGACTGGAGGGGGGAGAGAGAGACTGGGGGGGAGAGACTGGGGGGGAGAGACTGGGGGGGAGAGACTGGGGGAGAGAGAGAGACTGGAGCGAGAGAGGACTGGGGGGGAGAGACTGGGGAGAGAGACTGGGGGAGAGAGAGAGACTGAGGGGGAGAGAGAGAGATTGAGGGGGGGGGAGAAGAGAGACTGAGGGGGAGAGACTGAGGGGGGGGGAGAGAGAGACTGGGGGGAGAGACTGGGGGGGAGAGAGAGACTGGGGGGGGAGAGACTAGGGGGAGAGACTGGGGGGGAGAGAGAGAGACTGAGGGGGGAGAGAGAGAGACTGAGGGGGGAGAGAGAGACTGAGGGGGGAGAGACTGAGGGGGGGGAGGAGAGACTGGGGGGGAGAGACTGGGGGGAGAGGACTGGGGGAGAGAGAGAGACTGGAGCGAGAGAGACTGGGGGAGAGAGACTGGGGGGGAGAGACTGGGGGGAGAGAGAGAGACTGAGGGGGGAGAGACTGAGGGGGGAGAGAGACTGAGGGGGGAGAGACTGGGGGGGGAGAGAGAGACTGGGGGGGAGAGACTGAGGGGGGGGAGAGAGAGACTGGGGGGGAGAGACGGGGGGAGAGACTGGGGGGAGAGAGAGACTGGAGCGAGAGAGACTGGGGGAGAGAGACTGGGGGGAGAGACTGGGGGGGAGAGAGAGAGACTGAGGGGGGAGAGACTGAGGGGGGAGAGAGAGAGACTGAGGGGGGAGAGAGACAGACTTGGGGGGGGAGGAGAGAGACTGAGGGGGGGAGAGAGAGACTGAGGGGGGAGAGAGAGAGACTGGGGGGGAGAGAAGACTGGGGGAGAGAGACTGGGGGAGAGAGAGACTGGGGGGAGAGAGAGACTGAGGGGGAGAGAGACAGACTGGGGGGAGAGAGACAGACTGGGGGGGGGAGAGAGAGACTGAGGGGGAGAGAGAGAGACTGAGGGGGGAGAGAGAGAGACTGAGGGGAGGAGAGAAGACTGGGGGGAGAGAGACTGGGGGAGAGAGAGAGAGACGGAGAGAGAGAGACTGGGGGAGAGAGAGACTGGGGGGAGAAGAGAGACTGAGGGGGAGAGACGACTGGGGGGGAGAGAGACTGAGGGGGGGAGAGAGAGACTGAGGGGGAGAGAGAGAGACTGGGGGAGAGAGAGAGACTGAGGGGGGAGAGAGACAGGACTGGGGGGGAGAGAGAGACTGAGGGGAGAGAGGACTGAGGGGGAGAGAGAGACTGAGGGGGAGAGGAGAGAGACTGAGGGGAGAGAGAGAGACTGGGGGGGAGAGAGAGACTGGGGGGGGAGAGAGGAGACTGGGGGGAGAGAGACGACTGCGGGGGGGAGAGAGACAGACTGGGGGGGGGAGAGAGGAATGAGGGGGGAGAGACAGACTGGGGGGGGAGAGAGACAGACTGGGGGGGGAGAACAGACTGGGGGGAGCAGAGAGACTGAGGGGGGGAGGAGAGACTGAGGGGGGGAGAGGAGAGACTGAGGGGGGAGAGAGAGAGACTGAGGGGGAGAGAGAGAGACTGGAGGGGGAGAGAGAGAGACTGAGGGGGGAGAGATGAGAGACTGGGGGGGGGAGAGAGAGACTGGGGGGGAGAGGAGACTGGGGGGGGAGAGAGATAGGGGGGGGGACTGGGGGGGGAGAGAGAGACTGGGGGGGAGAGAGAGACTGAGGGGGAGAGAGACAGACTGGGGGGGGAGAGAGACAGACTGGGGGGAGAGAGAGACTGAGGGGGGAGAGAGACGACTGGGGGGGGGGAGAGAGAGACTGGGGGGGAGAGAGAGACTGAGGGGGAGAGAGAGACTGGGGAGAAGAGAGACTGGGGAGAGAGGACTGGTGGGAGAGAGCAGAGACTGGGGGAGAGAGACTGGGGGGGGGGAGAGAGACTGGGGGGAGAGAGGAGACTGGGGAGAGAGAGACTGGGGGAGAGAGACTGGGGGAGAGAGAGAGACTGGGAGAGAGAGACTGGGGGGAGAGACTGGGGGGAGAGGAGACTGAGGGGGAGAGAGAGACTGAGGTGAGGGGGAGAGAAGAGACGGGGGGGGAGAGAGAGACTGCGGGGAGAGACTGGGCGGGAGAGAGAGAGACTGAGGGAGAGAGACTGAGGGGGAGAGAGAGAGACTGAGGGAGAGAGAGAGTGTGAGAGAGACTGAGGGAGAGAGAGAGAGTGTGTGAGAGAGACTGAGGGAGAGAGAGTGTGAGAGAGACTGAGGGAGAGAGACTGAGGGGGAGAGAGAGAGAGACTGAGGGAGAGAGAGAGAGCTGGGGGGGAGAGAGAGGGGAACTGGGGGGGGGGAGAGAGAGACTGGGGGGGGAGAGAGAGACTGGGGGGGAGAGAGAGACTGGGGTGAGAGAGACTGAGGGGGGGGAGAGAGAGACTGGGGGGGGAGAGAGACTGGGGGAGAGAGAGAGAGAGGACTGAGGGGGGAGAGAGAGACTGGGGGGGACGAGACTGGGGGGGGAGAGACTGGGGGGAGAGAGAGAGACTGTAGGGGGGAGAGAGAGGAGACTGGAGGGGGAGAGAGAGAGACTGAGGGGGAGAGAGAGACTGGGGGGGAGAGACTGGGGGGGAGAGACTGGGGGAGAGAGAGGACTGAGGGGGGAGAGAGGAGAGACTGAGGGGGGAGAGAGAGAGACTGGGGGGGGAGAGAGAGACTGGGGGGGAGAGACTGAGGGGGGAGAGAGAGAGACTGAGGGGGGAGAGAGAGAGACTGAGGGGGAGAGACTGGGGGGGAGAGAGAGAGACTGAGGGGGGAGAGTGAGAGACTGAGGGGGGAGAGAGGAGACTAGGGGGAGAGGAGAAGACTGGAGGGGGAGAGAGAGAGACTGGGGGAGAGAGAGACTGGGGGGGGGACTGGGGGGGAGAGAGAGATGGGGTGGGAAGAGACTGGGGAGAGAGAGAGGAGAAGAGAGAGACTGAGGGGGGGAGAGAGAGACTTAGGGGGAGAGAGAGAGACTGAGGGAGAGAGAGAGAGAGACTTAGGGGGGGGAGAGAGAGAGACTGAGGGGGGAGAGGAGAGACTGAGGGGGGAGAGAGAGAGACTTGGGGGGAGAGAGAGAGAGACTGAGGGGGGAGAGAGAGAGACTGGGGGGGGAGAGAGAGACTGGGGGGGGGGACTGGGGGGGGAGAGAGAGATGGAGTGGGGAGAGATGGGGGTGGGGAGAGAGACTGGGGGGAGAGAGACTGGGAGAGAGAGGACTGGGGGGGGAGAGAGGAGAGAGAGACTGGGAGAGGGGAGGAGAGAGACTGGGGGGAGAGGACTGGGGGGGAGAGACTGGGGGGGAGAGACTGGGGGGAGAGAGAGAGACTGGGAGCGAGAGAGACTGGGGGGAGAGACTGGGGGAGAGAGACTGGGGGGGAGAGAGAGAGACTGAGGGGGGAGAGAGAGAGAGATGAGGGGGGGAGAGAGAGAGACTGAGGGGGAGAGACTGAGGGGGGGGAGAGAGAGACTGGGGGGGAGAGACTGGGGGGGAGAGAGAGACTGGGGAGGAGGAGAGACTAGGGGGGAGAGACTGGGGGGGAGAGAGAGACTGAGGGGGAGAGAGAGAGATTGAGGGGGGGAGAGAGAGACTGAGGGGGGAGAGACTGAGGGGGGGAGAGAGGAGACTGGGGGGGAGAGACTGGGGGGGGAGACTGGGGGAGAGAGAGAGACTGGAGCGAGAGAGACTGGGGGAGAGAGACTGGGGGGGAGAGACTGGGGGAGAGAGAGGACTGAGGGGGGAGAGACTGAGGGGGGGGAGAGGAGACTGAGGGGGAGAGACTGGGGGGGGAGAGAGACTGGGGGGGAGAGACTGGGGGAGAGAGAGAGACTGGAGCCGAGAGAGACTGGGGAGAGAGACTGGGGGGGAGAGAGAGACTGGAGAGCGAGAGAGACTGGGGAGAGAGAGACTGGGGGAGAGAGATGGGGGGGAGAGACTGGGGAGAGAGACTGGGGGGGGAGAGAGAGACTGGAGCGAGAGAGACTGGGGAAGAGGACTGGGGGGAGAGACTGGGGAGAGGAGACTGGGGGAGAGAGGACTGGGGGGGAGAGACTGGGGAGAGAGAGACTGGGGGAGAGAGAGACTGGGGGGAGAGAGACTGGGGAGAGAGAGGACTGGGGGGAGAGAGACTGGTGGGGAGAGAGAGACTGGAGCGGAGAGAGACTGGGGAGAGAGAGACTGGGGGGGGAGAGAGAGACTGGACGAGAGAGACTGGGGAGAGAGAGACTGGGGGGGGAGAGAGAGACTGGAGCGAGAGGACTGGGAGAGAGAGATGGGGAGAGAGAGACTGGGGGGGAGAGACTGGTGGGGGAGAGACTGGGGGGGGGGAGAGAGAGAGGCTGGGAGAGACAGAGAGAGGGACTGGAGAGAGAGAGCGAGAGAGAAACTGGGAGAGAGAGAGAGGAGGAGAGAGGGACTGGGAGAGAGAGAGAGAGACTGGGAGAGAGAATGAGGGGCTGGTGTGTGTGTGGGTGAGTGAGCCAACGAGCGGGACAGGTGGGGGAGAGAGAGTGAAGCTTCGGGACTTTGAACCCACAGTGTTGGTTGACAGTTCAAAACAGTTCTGGGAAAGGACATTATTGGAATGGTCATCCCGTGGATGTCGATAAACCGAGGTCTGTTCCATGGACAGCAGAGGGACTCCAGGCAACTTCTTAATTTTCCTTGTTAACTGATGATCCTGTTGAAATCAAATTGAAATATTTTATTGGAAGAATATAAAACCTGATTTAATATGTAGATCAGGGTGTTCCAATTGGGCCTGGCGGTGATATCAGCAGCAACGTTAGTTTTATTCAAAAATTATTCAAATATAAGGAAGTTTCTCTCGTGTCTTGACCGACAATCCCCAGAGAAAGTTGGCTTTTCGCTTCATGGCTGTTTGTGGGACATTGCTGTCGCCTACAAAATACAAAGTCGCTAACTTTACAGTAAATCCTGTGAAGCACTTTGAGATACCTCCCCATATGAAAAGTTTCAATTTAAGTGCAAGGGTTATTATTATTGTCACTTGTCCTTCGTCTCAATTTACACTGGACTGTTTACATCTGGTGTGAACTGCTGTGACCTGCTTACTCCCCAATCACTAGCCTTTGCCTCCGCTCGACTTGCTCTGGCCTAATGTTTGTCTCTCGTGCCCTCTGTTCTACCATCAGCGGCCGCACTTTCAGCCACGACGCTCCTGAACTCTGGAACACTCTGCCTCAATCCCTCTGCCTTACCCCTTCCTTTCCCATCTTCAGGTCACGCCTGAAGACCTTCCTCTTCGGCTGTGCTTACAGTCAGCTCCCCTCCCTTCTTCCTCTGGCTTGGTGTCGGGCTCCCCCGCTGTGGGAAGCTACCCTGCATGAGGGGGTCTAAATAAATGCAAGTTATTGTTGAAATTTGGATGATGACATTTCTTTTTTGCAGAGATGAAATCGGGCTGATTCCCTGTCTTGAAGCCAGGTACAACCGGAGCCCCATAGTGCTGGTAGAAAATAAGCTTGGTGTGGAAAGCTGGTGCGTTAAACTGCTTTTGCCCTACGTTCATAATAGACTTGTCCTCTACAGGCAAAGAAAGCTGTGGTTAGAGAGGGATGGTAAGTGGCGCACATGTTATGTTAACTTAAACTTGACTGTTCAGGAGTAGCATTTGATCTGTTCCTGCACAACCAGGGCTAGATCACACCCAGTGATCGTTGCCCAACCTTTAGGCTTTACAGTATAGCTGCCAAGAAATAGGAAGTATATGTACCTGTTTGACCAGGCGTTCCTGGTGGAGTCAGTGGGTTATCACTCACTTCTGGGTCCTGGACTTAAATCCAACTCATTTGTCCATTGTTAGCTGTAAGGATCAACCAAATTTTAGTGGACATGGGTTTACAGTGCTAATACTATCTCACTTAAAAAAAGACCTCAAGGATAGTTAATGTGTGAAATGTGAGTTTTGCACTTGTGATAGTTTTACTGAGGTTTGGCTGAGGCCCTTTACTCTGTATCCAACCTGAGAGATATTTCTTATCTGAAATAAGAAAGTATTCTGTTTCCCAACATTATCATTCCTCCCCTGATGAGCACAAAATTCACCAGAATAAAAGCACACGGTACAGAATCCTTTCTCGTAACCAATATAGTGTTATTTTAAAATTGAATATCTGAAGCCTTCTTTCTAGAATTGTACATACATTATTGGGACTGTTTCTGAGCTTAAGGGATACACCACATATTAGGCTCAGCGTTATCTATAGAATTCATCAGACATATAGTAATAATAGCTTTATTTCCTGGCAATAAAACAATATCCCATATGTGCTGTGTGTGTTCGGGGGTGAGAGTTTTACTCTTGAAATGAACGAAAATTGAGGTGACACTTGTAATCTCTCTTTAGGAAGGAGTGGTGCTAAATGTCCTGGTGTAGGTGATCAAAGGGCACACATTTCCGCCATATGTCAAATATATTTTTCCCAACATAGAAGATTTTGGTCTTAAAGAATTCTTTGGGACAGGAGAAGGGATGCCCTACAGGCTGTTTGCTGTGGACTGTATTTTCAATCAAATCAAAAAGAAAATCAGCCCACGAACAAAATCTGTTGGGAGTTAGATAAATATACAACAGCAGCAGCTTGGATTTATATAGTGCCCTCCACGCCGGACGGCATCTCAGAGCGCTTTACAGTAACGGATCCCGGGGCTGAGGGGGGGGAAGGTGACCAAAGGCGCGGTCGAAAAGAAAGGTCTTCAGCAGAGACCTGAAAATGGGAAGGGAGGGAGCGAGACGAAGGGAGTGAGGAAGGCAGTTCCAGAGCCTCGGGGCATAGTGGCTGAAGGCACGGCCGCCAATGGTGGAGCGGAGGACTCGGGGGACGAGGAGGAGGCGAAACCCGGAGGAACGGAGGCAACGGGTACTGTTCTGAGGAGAGAGGAGGTCAAAGAGGTAGGGAGGTGCAGAGGAGTGCAGGGACTTCAATACAAGGGTGAGGATTTTGAAATCGATCCTCTCTGGGACAGGCAGCCAGTGCAGTCTGGCAAGGACTGGGGTGATCGAGGAGCGGAGTTTCGTGCGGGTGAGAATGCGGGCGGCAGAGTTTTGAATGATTTGGAATTTATGGATGGTAGTGGAGGGGAGACCGGCGAGGAGGGCATTTGAATAGTCCAGCCGAGAGGTGACAAAGACATGGACCAGGGTTTCAGCGGCTTTTGGGGAGAGGTGCTGGATTTCTCCACAACTACACAAGTTTAAGGGCAGTGCCAGGGGTTATTTGTGATTTTATTTTTGAAATCCTTTAAATTTAATCTCCAGACAGGTGTTGGGACCTTGGGGAGCCCCATTGAATTATATTGCAAATAGATCCCGACTTCAAGTCTTTTAACTTTACTGATGGATATTCTATTCTCGGTTATTACCATTTTGCTTCTTTTGCTTGAAGCAGTTTGCGTATGCTGGTGCCTTTGCGACTACTAATTTATGTATTCAATTTATGTTCTGTCCTTAGGAGTAAAAGTTTTTTTGAATAAGTGTTTTTTGAAGGAAGTAATGTAATTTCTCCCACCCTGCAAATGCTGTTGTGGGTTGTTTTTGTTTTGTGACTTGCTTGCCAAAAATGGGAACTGTAGTGATGTTATATATGATGAGGATCCATTTTACAGAACGAGTCTGGCCTCCTTAGCTTTCTTTGATGGAGTTCTCTTTCTTTCAATAAATTAAATGCATCTTTTTAGAACTTTTGGTTTCTAACAGTTAATGATAATCCTTGCATTTGATATAGCGTTTTATCGGGCCTTCGAGACGTCTCAAAGCCCTTCACAGAATATACTAGTTGTCTGAATGATTCCAATTTTATATGTATATTTTATCAAAAGCTAAATTTCTACAGTCACATCTTCTGTTGTAATTTAGTTCTAGGTTTATCTAGAAACAAAAGACACTTACAGCACAGGAGAAGGCATTCAGTCCATCGGGTCTGTGCTGGCTTTTTTAAAGAACGATCCTTTCCGTCCCATTTACCTGCCCTTTCACCGTAGCCCTGTCGTTTACTGCTTTTTAGATATTTACCAAGTTCCCTTTTGAAACCTATGGATTCTGCCTCAACCATTGCTCCTGGCAGGGTATTCCATATCCTAACCACTCTGTGGGGAAAAACATTTCTCCCAATCTCCCCTTTTCCTCGCGAGCAAATTGATGCCTCTTGTCACAGACTCGCTGACTAGTGGAAATCATTTCTCCCTATTATCGAAACTCATAATTTTAAAGACTTCAGCAGGTATCCCTCAACCTTCTTTGTTCCAACGGGAGAACTCCCTTTTCTTCCCGTTTCTGTTCACAGTCCAAATCACATCCTTGGTATCACATTTGCAACCCATGTATTGCATAGGACATAGGAACATAGGAATTAGGAGCAGGAGTAGGCCATTCGAACCCTTGAGCCTGCCCCACCATTCAATAAGATCATGGCTGATCTTCTAACCTAACTCCATCTGCCCGCCTTATCTCCATATCCCTTAATCCTTCTATCCTTTAGAAATCTATCAATTTCAGTCTTGAATATGTTCAAGCGCTGACCATTCTGAGTGAAGAAGTGTTTTCTCAACTCTGTTCGAAAGGGCTGACCCTTAATCTTAAGACTGTGACCCATAGTTCTAGATTCTCCTACCAGGGAAAACAGTCTCACACTGTCTGTCAAGCCCCATAAGAATCGTATATGTTTCCATAAGATCACTCCTAATTCTTCTATATTCTAGAGAATATAGGCCTAGTTTACTCAACCTGTGCTCATTGGTCAACCCCCTCATCCCAGGAACTTACCTAGTAAATCTACGCTGCACCCCCTCTAAGGCGAGTATGTTCTTTCTTAAATAAGGAGACCAAAACTGCACACAATATTCTAGGTACGGTCTCACCAAGGCCTTATACAACTGCAGCAAGACTTCTCTACTCTTGTATTCTAACCCTTTTGCAATAAACGCCAACATGCCATTAGCCTTCCTAGTTGCTTGCTGTACCTGCATAGTAACTTTCTGTGACTGGTGTACAAGGACACCCAAATCCCTCTGAACACTAACACTATCTCGTCTCTCTCCCTCTAGAAAATAATCTGCTTTTTGGTTTTTACTACCTAGGTGAATAACTTCACACTTCCCCACATTATATTCCATCTGCCACCTTCTTGCCCACTCACCTTGCCTATCTATATCCCTTTGCAATCTTTTTGGTCATCCTCAGAGCTTACTCTCCCACCTAGCTTAGTATCATCTGCCAATTTAGATATTTTAAGTTTTATGTCCTCGTCTAGATCACTGATATAGATTGTAAATAGTTGAGGCTCAAGCACTGATCCTTATGGCACTCCACTAGTCACATCTTGCCAATCTGAGAAGGACCTGTTTATCCCTACTCACTGTTTTCCTCCCGTTAGCCACTCTTCGATCCATGCTAATATATTGCCTTTAATTCCATGGGCCCTAATCTTGTGTAGTAGCCTTTTATGTGGCACCTTGTCGAATGCCTTCTAAAAATCTAAATACACTACATCTACTGGTTCCCCCCTATCTAACCTGCTAGTTACATTCTCAAAAAACTCTAAACGATTTGTTACGGATGATTTCCCTGTTGTAAAGCCATGTTGGCTCGGCCTAATCATGTTATGGTCTTCTAAGTACCTCACTACAACGTCCCTAATTAAGGATTCTAGAATATTCCCTACCACCGATGTCAGACTGACTGGTCTACAGTTCCCCATCTTCTCTCTCCCATTACACAAATGTTACATTTGTGATCTTCCAATCAATGGGAATAGTTCCAGAATCCAGAGAATTTAGGAAGATCAAAAACAAGGCATCCACTATCTCAGCAGCCACCTCCTTTAAAACCCTAGGATGCAGGCCATCAGGTCCATGGGATTTGTCATTTTTCAATCCCAACTGTTTCCCTTGTACTAATTCTTTACTGATGTTAATTTCCCTAATTTGTTCACTAACATTAGCTTCTTGGTTCCTCTCTATTTTTGGTAAGTTTTCAGTGTCTTCTAACGTGAAGACAGAAGCAAAGTATTTGTTTAATGACTCTGCCATATCTTTATCCCCCATTATAATTCCTCCTGTCTCTGCCTGTAATGGATCCACATTCACTTTTGATAGTCTCTTCCTCTTTATGTTTTGGAAAAACTCTTGCAGTCTGTCTTTATGTTCCTAGATAGTTTGCCCTCATAATCCATTTTCTCCCTCCTAATCAGTTTCTTTGTTGGTCTCTGAAGCCCTTCCAATCGTCGGGTTTACTGCTCTTTTTGGCAGTATTATAGGTCTCTTAATTTTATACTTTCCCTAACTGCTCCAGTTAGCCATGGTTGAACCACTTTTCCTGTGGTATTTTTATTCTTCAAGGGAATATGTGATCGCTGAGAATTATGTACTATATCTTTAAAGGTTTGCCATTGCTGGTCTACTGTTATATCCTTTAATCTCATTCCCCAGTCTATTTTAGCTAAATCCTCTCTCATACCTGCAAAGTTGGATCTATTTAAATTTAAGACCCTTGCTTCGGACTTAACTACATCACTCTCTAACGTAATGCTAAATTCCATCATGTTATGGTCACTCTGCCTTAGAGGAGCCTTAACTTCCAGATTGATGATTAGCCCTATTTCATTACATAAAACAAGATCTAGGATCGCCTGTTCCCTGGTTGGTTCCTCAGCAAACTGATCTAGAAAACTATCTCTAATGCATTCTATAAACTCCTCTTCTAACTTACTTTTGCCAATTTGGTTTTCCCAATCTATATGAAGATTAAAATCACCCACTATTAGTGTATTTCCTTTGCTACATGCTCCACTAATTTCCTGATTAATACTCTGCGCAATACTGTGACTGCTGTTCGGGGGTCTATAAGCTACTCCCACTAGTGTTTTCATAATTCCACCCATACTGACTCTACATACTGATTTTCTGATTTAAAGTCCTTCCTCTCTACTGTTTTTATCCCATCCTTTATTAGCAGGGCAAGCCCCCCCACCTTGTTTTCCACATTGCTTATCTTTCCTATATGCCAAATACCCCGGAATATTTAGCTCCCAGCCTTGATCTCCCTGTAACCACATCTCAGCAATGGCTACTAGATCATACTTGTTTGTTTCTATTTGTGCTATTAATTTGTCTATCTTATAAGAATGCTTCATGCATTCAGATATAGCGCCTTTAATTTTGACTTCTTGCTATTTCCCCTACTCTCTAATTCCCTATTTTCTTTTCCGAGCTTCTTGTCCCTCCTTGACCCACTCTGTTTATCTCCCTCGCTAATCTGCCTAAATCCTCCCAATTTATTAGTTTTGTCAGGACATTGGACATTAAATCCCAATTCCTTGAACTCGCTCCTCAAGTTGTCCCTACTATTCCTACCAATATCGTTGGTACCTATGTGGATTACCACAATTGGATCCTCCCCCTCCAGCCTCAAATTCTTCTCCAGCCCTGAAGAGATTTCCTTCACCCCGGCCCCAGGAAGGCCTTTGTGTCTCCTGATTGCGGCTGCAGAGAAGTGTGTCTGTCCTCCTGACTGACTCGTCCTCAATTACAACTAAATTCTGTCTCTCTCCCCCTCACTTGTGTGGCCTCCTGTATAGAGGTGCTGGGTTCAGTTTGCCCATCCTCCTCACAGGCTTCCTTGTCTTCACAGGTTGCAAATATCGCATGCCTGTTGGACAAGGTTAAAGCCTGGGGGTTCTCTGCTACTCTTTCTGGGATCCCCTTACCTGCTTGACTGTCAGTCACACTGTCCTGTCCCTGACTAGTAACGTAATCTATACGTTCCCTGAGCTTCAAGGGAGTGAATGGCTCCAGGATGAAACTACCCAGGAAGCTCTCACTTTCCCTAATACTGCGCAATGTCTGCACCTCAGATTCCAGCTCAGCTTCTTTGAGCTGGAGTTTCCTCAGTTGCAGACACTTGCTGCAGATGAAGTCGCCCGGGCTCAGGTTGCCCTCCCATCAATTCCCACATACTGCAGTACTCGCACTTCACCTGCCATGCCATTCTCTCTCTCACTCTGGATTTTAGGGGTTTTTTTAAATTTTATTTTTTTAAAAAAAGTTTTTGTTAGTGTTTTTCTTGGTGTTTTTGTTAGTTCTATGTTTTCCCTGTTTTAGTTTTTAATTTTGACATCACACTGATGTCACTTGTCGTTTTTCTACAGCTCCCCACTCCGCGGCAGGATGGCAAGAGAGTGCTTTGATATCTTTCCTAAAGTTTTTCACGTCCTGACGTGAATGGTGCTATACAAATGTAATTTCTTGTTGTTGTTGATAAGGTGTTGGGGTGACCAATACAGGATAAAATATTCTAACTAAGGTCTAACTAGTGATTCATAGTATCACCTCCTTGGTTTTATGTTCTGTATCCCTGTTGATAAAATGTAGGATTCCATTTGCTTTCTTGACCGCTTTGTCCACCTGCCTTTCCACCTTTAAGCATTTATATATGGTAATTCCCAAGTCCCTCTGCTCTTTTAATAATTTGCCACCTAATTTACACTTGTTCTCCTTAGTCTTCCTCCCTCAATGGATAACCTCACATTTATCTGCATTAAATTAAAATTGCCATTTCTCTGCCCAGTCAACTAATCTGTCTATGTCCCCTTAAAGTTCCTTGAATGTTTTCACTTCTCTTAAATGAAACTATTGGCAGTATATATTTCCCCATTATGAAGTTGTGTAGATATCCTACTATCATGTTGTTAAAACATTCCAAACCCTCCCCTTGTTGCTACGTAAGAACTACTTTCCCAAATTAGATTTTGTACTACAGCAACTAATGCTAGACATGTTGTAGAAAATCAATTCTACATTTAACAGGAAAGCACTGTGTTTGCAACTTGATAGTATGCTAACAGATGCAGTTCAATTGGATTTCACTGAAAAGGATCATTATCTGAAGTGTGGAAAGCCAATAGGTTAGTTATGATGTTGTTTCTAAAAGTGTATGTAAATTCCTTTTGAAATGATATCAATCCTCTTATATTTATATTTTTTCTCCAATTTCTCTGTATCTTTCAGCACTAATCGATCTCACTTGTACTTTATTGCTGCTGAATCCGGACTTCACAACAGCCTGGAATGCCAGGTATGTCACACTCAGCAAAAGTCATTTTCAGTAGTTGGCTGGAAGCCCAAATCTGACTCATTCTTAGGCTTTGAGACTAATTAATGTTCATTTCTATTGCTGCGCATTGTTCAGAGTTACGACAAGAACTGTGTTTCAAAAATTACAATGACTCATCCTCATAGATTGTTATAACGTGCTGATTCCTTTTCATGGTTAGGATGATACCAGTCTAGATGTCAGTGACACTATAGGTGATCGTTTTCTAAGTTCTTCAGAGCAGTGTTATTAGAAGGATTTAACTCTTCTCTTATGAAAATGTTATATGAATGGGAGGTGAGAGAAGAGAGGTACGATATATGCAATGGAACAGGAGAATAAAATGGGGGAGGGTGGAGGTGAGAAGTAAGTCTCCCTCTTAGTGACTTAATCTCGCCAACATACTTTTCGCTGCAAGCTGCTGTCACTGATCGTAGCGTCTGGAAAGGTAGGGACCGATACATTAAATGCCAAGAAAACGGTAATTGTTAGCATATCTTGTTTATTTTCCGTCGCTTCAGCTTTTTGTATCCTTTTGTCTGTGTGCTGTTTTTAATGTGTATTAAACTGCCAACCTTTCCAAATGCCTTAGGCTCGTAATTGGAAATTCATCTGCATCATCAGAATTAAAGGGTATGGAACCCACTACAGGATATTATGTCACCAGTCCAGTTCAAAAGGATACATCTTAATCCTTTTGCTTCTCAACATTTCAGATATTTTAATTTTAATTAGCTGCCCAATTTAGACCTGATCTGTGCATTAACAAATACATATCATCAGCGTGGTCCAACAGTCAGCCACATCCAGCCTGGCGGAGGGGGAGTGAGGGAGTAATTGAGAGAGGGAGGTAGAGTGTATGCAAGTCAGAGAGTGACGGGCTCGACAATGTAAATGAAGGCTTGTCGGCCTTCCCAATTCCTCCCTCCACAGGCTGCAGATCATCCAGAACTCTGCAGCCCATGTCCTCTCCTGCACCAGGCTCCGTGACCCCATCACCCCCACCCTCATCCGGCTCCACTGGCTCCCCATCACACAGGATAAAGTTCAAATCCTCACCTTCAAAGTCCTCCACGGCCTTGCTTCTCAACACCTCTGTGAGCTCCTAACCCCCTACCAACCTTCCGCTCCCTCTGCTCAACGGTCTCCAGCCTGCTTCACCTCCCTGCTTTGCCCGCCTCACCATTGGTGGCCGGGCCTTCAGCCTTTCTGCCCCCACTCTATGGAACTCCATCCCACATTCCCTTTGCCTCACTCCCTCCCTTGCGTCCCTGAAGGCGCGTGTCAAAACCCTCCTTTTCGATTGAGCCTTCAGCCACCCTCCCTGCCCTCCGCCCTCCCTAATCCCGACTCCCCAGCTCGGGTCCAAATCCCTGAGTGTCCAGCGCCTTGGGACATCCTGACATGAAAGACGCTATACAAATGTAAATTGTATTGTATCCATCTGCCCCACTATCGCTATTTTGCCACCACTCTTGGGAGCTCCATTACTGGAGTCCCTCTGACTCGTTCCCTCCTTCCCCATTAAAGGCATGTCAAGATCGAACTCTTTGATCGCGCCTTCAGTTATTTTCCCTTGGCTCCCACCCCTAGCTCAGTTGCCCAACTGGCAAGGTTGAGCCCTTTGTGTAAATATTGTTTTGTTTTTGGAAGGGAAACACAAAATATTGCTTGTGGGGCCCATAAATCCTTCTCAAATAGGGAATCCAGCCTACGGCAGCCAAAACATTGGATCACCTTGATGTATATAAGTAGGGAAACGTGTTTAGACTAGATTCAGATTTCAAATCTCTGGAGCTCCTTCACTCTACCCCTCCGTCCCGCACCCTCTTTATTTGGGTTTAAGTCTCGTCTCAAAGACTACCCTTCAACTGCACAGTTAAGGACGTTTTAAGGAAGTTAAGGTCCTTTTGGAGGAGGTATTGAAAACCAGAGCCATTTAGATATATGGAGGGTTCCGTCCTCCAGCAATGGCCTTTTATGATTAGTAGAATGCTGGAAATCAAATAGCAGACTTGGTTCATTAAGCTCTTTGCAATTAATTATTTCATTGACATTCACTTGCATTGACATTTACCCTGCATGGCCATGTATAGTGGTGGTTGTAATATACCTAGATCCAAATCAAAGGTGTGTTAGTAGCTTCTTTATTTGTCAATCCAAGCTCTCAATAATTCACACACTTTGTCCCATTCCATGTGTCCTTTTCTACTTCCTGCCCTTCTTCTTATTGGCTTTTTTTTACTCTTAACGGAATATCCAACCGTGGTCAAGGTTTGCGCACTTATGCCCAATGATTTCTGCCATTGAGACCTCATTGGTTCTATGGGCTTGGTGTAGTAATTAGCTAGAAGGGTGTAAAACCTTCCTTGTGGAAAAGACTGCCTATGATTCCTATAGAGAAAGGGAAATGGCATGTTATGGCTGTTGAGGAAGTGCTAGAGAAGGAATACGTGTAAAATAGATTATTTTGGACTCCTCAGAGTGGAATTTGCAGGCATTGTGCAAAAGCTATGACTTTTGGGAAAAAGTGTTCGTTGTTTGCAAAAATCATGTACTGTAGATGACCATCCCCATCCAGACTGGACTAAATAATAATAATCCTTGCATTTGATATAGGGCCTTAAAGCACTTCACAGGATTATACTGTAAAGTGAATTGACTATTTGTGGCTGAAACGTGGCAGCCAATTGAACACAGCAGTGATTAAAAGATCAAAGTCGCAGATTACCCTGGTTAGGACTCCCAATTTGCTGACATTTTGAATTTTATTAAGAGATGGAAGAAATAGGAGTGGTCAGTGTCAGTCAGGTTTTAAGGAACAGTAAGAGTGAAGTTTATGCTATGTATAAGCATGGCTACAGAACTGCTATAGACATTGGTTATTCTAGTGGATAGCAATGCTGTTTTATATGAAGCGTATATAGGTGACAATAATGTAATTAATCGTTTTGATGATGATATTCTGAATCACAGTATCACAATGTAGTATTACAAGTTGTATCCTCTTCAGTAGGATGCTTCGTTTTTCCCATAACACACTCGATTGCGAGTTTACCTCAGCTATAACATTGATATTTCATGGTTGTCACTAGCATTTTATTTACAAAATACAGAACGTTTAAGCAGAACCACTTGGAGCTGGCACTAGGTTAAACCTCCTCCTGATCTCCAATGTCTGTGCTACACTAGAATTATTGTGGTGATTGTGTGGCTGTAATGGCATAAATTCAATGCAGAAATGCTGGAATAGGGCCAAATGTCTCTTTGATTCAGCTTTGCTACCGAGATCCATTTTAGGTGGTGACCCAGAACTTGTTAGTTCCTGGTAAAATTGTAAAGTGTCCTGATGCACATTGAAACTGCCCTGTCCACTTACCAGGCAGAGTCTAATCCATCTAATGCTGGTTGACTTAAACTGTTAGCTGAAGTAACCAGATAAAATGGGCGAATGCACTGCACATTTGGTTTCCTTTGAAATTCAGTGCTCCTATATCTGCTAGTCTTTTTTAGTGTGCGTATGTCTGAGCAGACACAGAGAGCTGAAGGACATTATGCTGCCACATTTGTGACCAGAGTAATGTATGAGACAGGATTAGATGGATTCAAGATTTGTATAGGTGGAACCAGGGTCGAAAGCTTTGGAGAAATGTAACTTAGAGGTGACCAAGGTATCAATAAAAGTTTCCACAGCAGGAGCGATAGTGAGGTCATTAGCAATGGGTGAAAGAAGGTGGTCCTGGTAATGGGTCGAATAGGGGGTTGAAACTTGGTTAACCACAGAGAAAGCTACTGCGTTAAGTTCCACCTTGCTATTTGAACCAAACACAGCTTTAGATTGTGAACTTGTGGCTCTTCATAACCCACATGCCACAACCAATTCATTTACATAAAGAGTAATGATATGGTGTGAATGTTTACGGCACTGTAACCACTTAAATGTATAAAAAAAAGAGTTTTTTTCACCTATACAGTAAAACTCGAACAAGTTTTGTCTTTATAAATCGTATAATCCCCCAAGTTGCACTTTAACCCGAGACCCCTTCAGGTTCCTATCAAAACCGTTTAGATTTCTTTGCATTACTCGTATTACTCATCTTGTAACTCATAACACCGCTCGTCTACCCGCATTTACTGGCTGCATTGAATCTCAGAAACAACATCCTGATCTGTCAATGCATGTGCACTTATTGGACGGTTGCATTGAATCGTGGGAAAAGTAGTCTTGATCCTTCAACGCATGCGGAGAAGAACTTCATTTCTCACGATTTCAGCGCTTGCCGGGAAGCAAGACACATTGAATTGTCTTGTTCCATCACTGCGTGCGCACTTACTGGCTGCAGTGATGAACTACCGAAGGCACGTTTACTGACTGCATTGAATTACGCATTTGGAGTGTCGATTATTGAATAAATCAGATGTTATACAACTTGTACAGTTTGCCTACAACTCGGATTTCACATAAGTCATATTAAATATGTTGGTACCGACTGATACAATGTATTTGAGTTTTATTGTGAGTTTTTCATATAGTATTTCAAGATAATCCATCAAGTATCCCTTTAATAAATTAAAACAACCTTTCTAGACAATAGACACATGGAAATAACCCATCTAGAATGTCACATAAATCTGTTGGGACACTACACAAAAGCCTTATTAAATGAGGTGAGCGTACTGAGCTTATTAAAACACAATTTACTTTGCAACTCAGATTTCAGATTCTCAAAGTGGTTTTGTTTAATAAGGCAGCTTTGACACTTTAGCATTAATTTAAAGTGTGACACATATGGATTTTAGCTCTGGGACAGCTAGTCAATCTTCCTGTGGCTGGGAATTTAAACTCTGACGTTCTGGAAAGGCATTTTGTGGTATAATTTTTACATGAGAGTGCGTATCTCTGCCTTATCACAGTCTTTTACTTACACAATAGATCTTGATACAGCTAAGTCAGCGTGCAACAACAAAACACAACAACAAAATTACATTTGTATAGCGCCTTTCACGATGGGAAGACACACCAAAGCGCTGGACAATCAGTGTTTCGGACCTGAGCTGGGGCGGGATCAGGGAGGGTAGAGGGCGGTGTGGAGGGAAGGAGGATGACCGAAGAGGAGGGTCTTGAAACTGGATAGTGAGCATGCAAAAATATGCTATTCTGGCGTAATTTAAAACCGCCACAGTGTTTATCTTGACAGAAAAAAAGTGTCTGTTTTCCAAGATGCGAAAACCATGCATTGCATGTGGCACTGGAAAAGCCATTGTATTCTTGGCTGATACCTTCATCTTTATTCAAGAACTTTGTTGCTTCGTGTGCATTTGCTGCTTGTTAACAAAAGATCTGATTCTGTTTTACGCAACGACTGGTGAGAATGATGCTGAAATATTTTCCAGGAAGGAACTTGTAGAGTTGGGAGCATTGGATCCAATTAAGGATTTGTATCTAGGAAAACTCGCCCTAACAAAGTTTCCAAAAAGCCCTGAAACGTGGATTCACAGGTTTGTAAATACTATTCTGTTTTGGAAACTACTAGGACTTTCTAAAGTTGTATCTTTTCATGTAATGAAACAACAACAAATTGGTTATTGATTAGCATCTGTAAGATTATTTTACTGATGTCTAACTTCCTGCTGTGGGGTGGGGGTTGGTGGTGGTGGAGAGAGGTAAATGGTGTTTCCTTTTCCTTAACTGCTCCAAAGTGACCTGTTTGGCAATGGGATGTCGGGATTGAGTCAGTCTTTTATGGCATTCTCGATAGTTTGGTTCCTGAGCCATGTGATTCTGTATTACTCCAGGGCAGTGATAATGACAGACCAACTAACCTGGCTCATCAGTAGGACTTGGAGGAGCAGACCAATGGGGGAAGGAATTCTTCCCACTCAGCTCCTATTAACTTTGCAAGCCAAAACCCTAGTGGATAATAATAATAATAATAATAATCCTTGCATTTGATGTAGCGCTTTTCCCGTCTTCTAGACGTCTCATAGCGCTTCACAGAATATGCTGTAAAGTGAATTGACTGTATATTTGTGGGCGAAACGCGGCAGCCAATTGTGCACAGCAGTGTTCCACAAACAGTCGTGGATTGAAAATGACCAATTTATTATTGTTTTCTTTTGGAGGGATTATTAGGGTTGTCCTAGTGGACAAGCAGCGGGAAAGCTTGTCAGACAGTGCTTTCAAGCTGTGTGGTTAAAGCTGGTTAAACTACAGCATACTCTGGGATCCCGAAACCTTGGCACTTGTCAACCTGCGCCTCGTACTTTCCAGAATTAAGTAAGCAGATTGTATCCCTATAGGGAGAGAATATGTATCCCATTCTAGTCCCAGAATTTGCCCTGCTTAGGTAGAATGTGTGCAAATCTGTCTGGTTTGAATAAGCTTAAGCATGGTGATGAGTTTTACATGTGTCAGACACTAGGCTGTCAAAAATAAACTAAAGTCCAAAGTACCTTTTCCAGGTACCGCACAAGCTTCATTTGTATCGAGCGTCTATCTTTGTGGACCTTTTATATCATGCTTTTAATCTGAAAGATCTCGCCACTCAGGTCTCCCTGACTCTCAAACTTTTGTTGGCACAACTAGTGCACATTACTGCTTTGGTGGGTCTCTTAAGAGTTTTCCATCCCTCCTCCCAACAGCCTGACATTGTCATGACTCAGATCAGGACAAGCACAAACCAAGGGATTGAACGAAACAAAGATTGTTCCCTTGACCTCAGCACCAGAGTGCTGTACTTATTACTGCACTTGGATATTTCAAGGCTACATTGGTTTACAATTTTATTTATTTAAAAGCATTACTTTTGCTTCAGAAAACGCAGAAATTAATTTGAATTGTTGCTCCCTAAAGATTTACCAATAAAACCATGAACATGTTGAAATTGCCGCAGGTGTATGGGATGAAGCCCTCATTCAACCTTTTGGTACCTCCAGACTTGACTTCTCATACTTCTTGTCTCCCTGATTTCACCATCCACAAGCTTCAGCCTATTAAAAAACTGCCCCACCCACATCCTCACTCGCACCGAATTGCACTGGCCCGTCTCCCCAAGCTCAACCTGCCTCCCTGGCGACTAACAGTTTGATTTCAAGGTCCTCATGCACTTGTACCTCCCTATCTCTCCCTTCTGCTCATCGAACTCAGGCCTACTGCACATTCCCTCTGTTTCACCATTGGTGGTCAAGCCTTCAAAAACTATGTTCCACCCATTGGAACTCCCTCCTTTGAATATTTATTATAATTATTATGATTTATCTGTCTTCAAACGCAGTCTAATCTACCTGTACGATCATGCCTATAGTCAATCCCTCTTTGCCCAGTATCCAACACCACTCCTATGAAGCACGCTTAAGATGTTATCCTACTTGAAGAGCACTGTATTAATACAGGTGTTGTTGTTAATCCTGTTGTCAATAATGGAATAATCTCATATTCTCAATTCTGAGTTTCTTAAAAAATAGAGTTTTCTTACAGTGTATTTTCATACTGTGAAAGAAAATGATTAAAATTCAGCTGGTTTGTTTCCACTGATAACTGAAGTGATGGACTGGTTATTAAATGGAGTGAGGGTTTAAAAAAATGTTTCACAAGGAAACTCTTCAGATGGTAAACCAAAGTCCCATCTGCCTGTTGAGGTGGATGTTAAAGATCTCTTGACACTATTTGAAAAGAAAAAGGAGTTTCTACCCATGTCCTGGCCAACAATTCTCCAGATAAACTGGTATTTCATCAGTTGGCTGTTTGTACGACCTTAATGTGCACAAAGCTGGCTGGCAATTTTACGTGCAAAAACAGTCACTACACATGAATGCAAATACTTGTACAACAATTTTACATTTATATAGCATGTTGGGAAGTCGTCTCAAAGTCGTCTGTTTCTAAATTGTTTACTTTTTTTGAAGGCTTGACTCCCAACATAATCCTTAGGAAAACATATTCTAATTGTTCTTCTGCAGCCTAGGAATCTTCAGATTCCATGGCTGATACCCTGCTTCTTGTGCTGCAGGGAATTGTCTGTCTCTAGGGATTCCTCTGAGGATTGTACACATGGTGGCATTAATTAATTTTTATTGTAAGGGGTACATGTAGGGCATAGTGGCTCTTTCCCAGACCATCCGATCATGACAAAAAGCTTTAAAAACTTGGTCCTTTTAAAGTTCTTAAATTCTGCATCCTTTGGAACAATTTCAACTTATTTTTATAATTCAGATTCAGTGTTAGGATTCGTAAAGTGTTTTGAGACATCACCCTCCGTATAGAATCATGGAATCCTAGAGCACAGAAGGAGGCCACCGTGCCATAGTGCCTGTGCCAGCTCTTTGAAAGAGCAATCCAATTAGTTCCACTCTCCCACTTTTACCCCATAGCCTTGCAATTTTTTTTCTTTTGAAGTATATATACAAATGTAATTTTGTTGTTGTTGTATGCAATTCCCTTTTGAAAGTTATTATTCAACCTGCCTCCACCACCCTTTCAGACAGTGCCTTCCAGATTCCAATATAGGGCATGGATGCACATGTTGAAATTGTTTCACTGATCAGCCAACAAAGATGGTGCCTTGATTTCTGTGGTCTTGCTTCATTGTTCTTTTGATATTGACTTAAAATGCTTTATATATAATGTGTATTTATCTGTTGTCAAGGCTGTATTGTATACAGAATATTACGGTTAGTTTTAAAATCTGTCAATTTGGCTCACGTAAAAGAAATGCTATCTCTTTAATAAGTAGAGAATGAGATTCTTCTCTTGCCAGTGCATGTGACACAATCCGGTTGCTAAGATACGATTTTGCATTGCACCAGTCTGTTCCCTAATGGTGTGTGCCATTTTCTTTCCCAAAGACGCTGGATTCTGCAAAAGATCATTCAGAAAATTTGCCTTCCAAATTCGAAGAATAAAAATAATTCAGCAATAGTAGTACCAACTGAACAGATGCATAGACTAATACAGGATGAGATGACAGTCTGTTCTGAAGCTGCTGGAAGGTATCCAAGCAACTATAATGCCTGGTCCCATCGTATCTGGGTCCTGCAACATGTGGCAAAGTGCAATCCTAAGGTATGACTGTGGATTAATCTCCTTGTTTTAATAATCGGGCCTAATAGGTCAGCCAATATCTGTCAAGAATGCTGTGGTGTAGCTGGTTTAAATGGGTAAATGGTCGTAGGTGGGCTACTAATTGGTGCCTTACATGGGAGGTGTTTCATCGCTGCGTTTGGGAGGGGGGAAAAAAGGAAGAGGAAATTGACGTGGTTTAACCTTGCAAAGCCTTTTGTGGCCAGTCATGCTGCAGTGTTGACACTAGTCACAGAAAACCCTGTGCAGCAGACTATCTCTTGTTTCTGATGAGAAGAAATTAATAATATGCCTGTGATGGAAAATGTGGGAGGGAGAGAGAAATACTTAATTTACATTCTTTGAGCAGCTTTGAGTATCAGTTTGAAATCTTTCCAAAAGTGATTTATCTCACATTATTAAATATGCGCAGCCAAAATGACTGTCAGTTTAAAACATGTAGAAGCTGATTTAGATCTGAAGGGAATTCTTTTCAATCAAAATTTCTGAGTTGTGCAAATGAATAGTTAATTTCAGTGCAAATTGATGCTTGAAGTGGTAGAATAAGCAATTTGGCACACTGGATAAATCCCAGTTTCATTTGCATCATGAAGCATTTTAAATAAGCCACGCATGTCTTGTTAGAAACTGATTATTAATGCTGCATAACCCCACAATCTGCATAACAAAATCATGTTTGCAATGGGGGTTTGTAGGGGCGGAGGAAATTGTGTTGTTTTGAAATTCTGTAGAGACTGATGGATATCTGGGAGCTATTAAATTACAGCCAGTAATGTAATTGAGCAGATCAGATGTCATTTTAAAATGCAAGAATAAGACCCAAGTGAATGGTTATCATCTTGATTCTTTAAGAGCGTGAATCATTCCCTTTAATGATTTTTGGGTTTCTATTTTAGATATTGTTTTCATTTTAATGTGTCAGTATTTTTTTCTTAAAAGCCCGTTAACTCTAGCAGCCAGTGCCCTTCGTGTCCTTGATGAATGGAGAAATTCAGAATAACTGTTGCGTCATCAAAACAGATTTATTACCTGTTATCTGTGGCTTTAGAAAGCAGAATGGTCTACATTGTGGATACGTTGTGACATTTTAAAATCTTAGCTTTTCCTTTGAAATGTTCATTTCTGTAACAGTTTTGCTCCTGCATGGTTTGCAGCATCTCTGTTCAGAAATGATATCTTCACAAAGTACAGTATTACGGAGGTTGTATTATTCCACGAGTGTCTGATTTAACCTCTGACTTCTCTGTGGGATATGCTGCAGGTTCTTGTTTTACATAGACGCCTCACTTTGAATAGATTCTGACCTTTTGTGTTATTGTCTTGATTTGAAATGCTGTGGGTGCAACACAGGTTTATAAAATGGCTTCTCCTTTGCTAATTTGATGCTTTTGTCTTGCAGCAGAGTCTGACTTTGTGAAACTTTTAAGTGTGTGATTCCACAAAATATTAGGATATTTTTTAATTGGAGGGGGGGGAACAGGAAGAGAAGGAATACTATTTTTTGAATATTGAACCTAGCCAACATTTGAACAACTAATAGCACTGTGGGTGGGCACATTTAGGAGTGCTGCAGGATCCATGCAGCATACATTTAATCTTCTGCTCCTCTTGGTTCCTGGTCGAGCTGTCCCAAGCTGCAAGCTGCTCACTGTGGTGTCCATCTGCGAATGTAAGAGAAAATCAGATAGCAATCTGGGGGGAGTGTGCTGCCTGCGTGGTACTTAGTGCTTCTGAAAAGCTGAACAAAGGGCATTGGTGCAGGTCTTGGATTAGGCTACCCTTCAGCAGGAGAGGCTGAAGAAATAGGGGATTACTTACTGAAGGAAAACGAACATTAATAATTTAACAAAAAAAAGCTTTTAAAGAGCATTAATTTTTAACCGCTATCAATTTTTTTTTTGTAATTTGCATTCCAATTTCAAAACTGGCTCAATTTGTGGGCATGTACTTTTCGAAGGAATTTTAAAGCAAATAGCATTTTTGAACATCTTTTGTAACTTCAAATACACTGCTAGGCTTTGAAGAGTTAAGCAATTGACTATCCATTCGGCTATACTCAGGCTATCTATTCAGTTTTGTATTCTCTGTTAAATCTTGAGAAGTGTATAACTACAGTGTCAAAAATCTTATGCTTTAATAGTAATTTCTATAAATTAGATAAAATAGCCAAATTGTAAATTGTTGTGCCATAAATTCATAATTTCAATGCAAACCTAAAACACTCAGAAGAGTAGCATTTCGATTAGATTTCATTTTGCTAATGTTATTGTGAGATTTTGCTAATAGGTTCACTTCAGTGTGCTNAAAAAAAATTAACCAAGAACTTACCTATACACCAGTAGTAATAAGGATTGCAACATTAGATCAGAATTGCATTTGGATGATGTTTGCATTCATTTAGTACTGAAACGACTTTAGGTTGGAACAAGATAGCAGAACAAGAAGACATAGGCTTATGTCTATGTCTAAAGGGAAATTTCAGGACAGGCACCAGGAAGTATTTCTTTACCCAGTGGGTAATTAACGACTGGAACAAGTTGCCAGGAGCGGTGGTTGAGGCCAGGATGTTGAGCTCGCTCCATCAAAAAAAGCTTAATGCTGTGATGGGAGGTCAGTAGGATAGGTGTTCTAGTAGGATAAGGTCACACAGGATTCATAGAAAGTACAGCTCTGAAACAGCCCATTTGAACCCAGTCTGACTATTGGGCCTTCTTCATCTAAACTAATCTTGTGAAGTATCGTGCCTATTTTTGTTTTGGTTCCTCTGGTATCCTAGGCCATTCTTTGACTGAGAGGATGGGCAGATGCAGCTCTCAGCAATGAAATTCTTGAGTTACTGCAGGATGTTCCTGTAAACAGCCTGAGGATGACTCTTGTCTTCTGCCTTATTGTTACCTTTCTTTCGAACCAATCATGGTATGATGAAGTTTTGGAGTTCATTTTGTGCATAATAGTGAGCATGTACCAATTACTGTCACTCTCAATAGTGCAACTTATTGGCACACCTATACACTGTAACTGCACGATTACACTGCCCAAATTAGCCAACATAAACCATTTATTTATTAATGGTAGTTGGTTGTGTTTTATATTTCCAGGTACTGCTTGATGAGTTGTCCAGTACTAAGTACTGGGTATCCACGCATGTATCCGACCACAGCGGTTTCCATTATCGACAATTCCTACTGAAGTCTGTGGCGTGCAACACACGAAATACAACAGTTACTGGGCCTGGGTGCATGAGAAAACCCTTAAGTAAAGAACATCATACCAGTCTTCCACTTCCTCCAAAGGATGAAGGTGCATCTGTAGATGTGTATATGGCAGATGTGCCGCTTATGATTGAAGAGGAAATGGAGCTCTGCACTGATCTCATTGAGTCTTACCCAGGCCATGAAGCTCTGTGGTGTCACAGGTAGGCAAACTAAAATATATTGTGTCCTGAACTTTACTATATTGCTTTATTTATTTTGGAGATTACAGTGTGCTAATTGAATGATATATATTTGGCCATGTTTGTTATTGGAATAATAGAACTGTATTTTGCAGAATTGTACCAGTTTACTTGTGTAGCTAAGTTGAACCAATAGAGGGTGCTAAACACACAGTCTCTGGTTACCTCAAACATCCACTAGTATTAACAATAATTAGCAGTCATTTTTGCTTTAGCCAGAAAGAGTTTGAATTTAAGTAAATGAGTCGTTCACCTGGATTAAAGTAATAAACTTGGCGTAATAACTGGTAAAATTACTATTTTTCTCAAAAACAAAATTGTGTGTGACTGAAGCAATTATCCACAGTCTTATGATCATAGGTTAAAATTGCTTTTTGGATTTGAAGGCAATATATCGACTTTTGTGGTTTATTTATTCCCCACTATGACCATTAATCCAAGTGCTTGCTCCGTTCTGGTTCTTTTGCCATATTTGAACCGATTGAAATAAATGTATCTCACTCTGAAATGTTAATATTATCAGTGAAGTTATTTGTTCACCTTCGGTCTATAGAGAATGATATAATTAAAGCTTAAAATTTGGTACATTAATTTACTTAATGTAAATTTATCCAGGTTTGGGCCCGTTAATCTTATAGCAGTTAGTTAGTTACTTAGGGAAACGCTTTACAAAATCTCACCCACCAATGGTGGGGCAGAGAAAGTGAGGGTCTTTAAGCAGGCCGAGTGGTGGGAATGGCGGTGGTGTAGGGTCGTAGGAGATTACAAGAGCTAGGGTGGGATAAGATAGTGGAGACATTTAAAGGGAAGGACGAGGATCTTAGTCAATCTTCTGGGGGATACAGAACCACTGGATCTGTGTGAGGATGAAGGTGACAGACCTGTGGAAACTGGTGCAGGAGAGGATGTGAGCTGTGGAGTTCTGGATGCCGCTGACTGCAGACGTTGTCAACAGATGAAGAATGTAGTGGATAAGCAAAAAGGGCAGAGGATAGAGACCTGAGGAACATGTCATGTCACCGTGGACAGGAGGAGAAGCAATATATCAAATACAAAGATTATTATTATAATGCGGAGCCACATAATAGTGCCTTTTATGTTAAAAAAAATCTCTGAAGTGCTTCACGGAATGAGAATAATCTGAAATAAATGTAATGTAGAAAAATGCAGTGGTTAATTTGCTAACATAGTACCTGATTAATTTTGCATGACCAGGAATATTTATTGTTGAGGAGAGATTGGTGTACTGCAATTTAGCTCCCCTCCCTCCCCCCCTAAAGTTTACTGCAACTATAAAGCTTTAGTTTTTCTGAATTTTGTCTTGCAGGAGATGCGTGTTTTATCTTTTGCATTGCTGGAACAAAGAGAATCGCCAGCTCTCGTCAAAGTCTGAGCCCAACAATGGTGGTGATGGAACTGTGAATAATGTACAGATGAGCAGTGCAGGGGGCTATTGCTCTCAAGACATGGATGTTGATGGTGCGGTTGAATCAGTCAGGCAAAGTTACACCCAGGAGACAAAACGGCTGAAGCGAGGTCCTTCACTAGACTTGCCCAGCTTGTTAGAGGAGCACAGATTCATCGATACCATTTTAGCAGGTTGTAGCAATACTGAACAAGTCAGATTTGCAACTGCTTACAGAAAATGGCTGGACACTGTCATAAGTCAGTAGTGACAGGAGTCTGTTAAATACGTTGAGCTAGTTTTAAATCCTTCCAGAACAGCTTCCTAAACTATTTAAAGCACCCATGTTGCATGGCAACTTTCTAAGTAATGCTCATTACCAGTAAAAGTCAAATCTAATTAAAGGGGTATTAACTGGAATTGAGCCTCAAAAAGAACCTTCAGGTTCTAATCACACCTGAGTTAACCTTCAGGAAAGGTTTGCAAACTGAGAAGCTACAGTCACAATCAGATTTCCAACTTGTCAATGTGAAAGTGATGGATTTTAGTCCCGACTCTCTTACTTACATATTAGTTGCAGTGAAAATATACATTCATTTCAATGTGTACATTTAATTACTTAATTGTTGCCAAAATACATTTTATGCAATTGTAAATGAATAAAATTCATTTTTTGCAAACACTCCCAAGAAATTGGACTGATGACTTGAATTTCAGTCTAGACATTCTTGGTTCTCCAAAATTTAGTTCAAATATTGCAAAATTTATAATTCAGAATAGAGAGTGTTTCTATCTTATACATTTCAGTCAGCTTAATTTACTAGGCATGTAGGGTGTGACTTTTTAATTGCACTTTGATGGCCAAAGTTAAATTTTGATCTAATAGCCTAGTAATTAAAACACACTGTTTTTTTTAAAAAAAACTCATTGACATAGGCTACAGTAAAGCAAATACAAATAAGTACAAAGTTGCTTACCTCTCCATTGACATTGACATTTTATGTGATTTTTTTTCCCAGCCCCTCTAACCCAACTCAGATGTGGCCTTCCTTAACTGGTGTCTCTAGCTGTATCAGTGTAAATGACTACCAATTTAGTATTTAAGATTGGAAAAGCAAAGTTACATTCTTCTTTGTTGTGGGTTCCTAATATCTGTTACAGCAGCAAAGCAGCTGCAGTTGTGAAAAAGAGCTTGCTTACGGAACTGAATAGGATGATGGGCACTACAGGGATAGTCGCGTATTCCATTGCAGTTCATTTGTGCACAAACAAAACTCTCAATGTTACTTCTTCCCTGGAGAAGGGCACATTTGTGCAATAGGCTTTTAACTACTCTTAAGTCTGTGAGAACTAATCCTATTCAGAGTGAATGTGACCAGGGTAAGTATTGAATGAAGGGGTGCAATAACGTTAAGTTGAGGACCTCGCCACTAACGCTTTTCCTATGTAAAATGTTGACTTAAACGATAATAGAGAACACTGGGTCTATTAACTTTGACCTTGCAAGGAATTAAATTGGGGACTCTTGTTATTCTCACTTGTTTTGTTAGTGTATTTTAATTCATTTAAATGATGGTTCCATACATGAAAATTGGATGAAATGTCATTCTTGAATTTGCACAGCCATTCTCGATTTCAGTGGTTTACAATATTTCTGCAGCAAACTAGACTACTTCCACTTCTACAGCAATAAAATCACCGTTGATTCACATCTCCAAACTCTCCATTGTGGATCAGTACATGAATTACAGGTTGCCCAATCCTAACCCAATTCCCCACCCCTGCTCAAACTTAATACTATAAACTGTCGCATGTTAGTTTTCATGACTTGAACCATGACATTTGTATTGATTTCCTGACATACGTATGTAAATTTTTTTGCAGTGTATTTCATCCAAATTATTTTGTGTTTTCAATTTTTTTTAAAAAAACATACTCACTAGATATTTGAGCTCCTTTTTCTTCCCCGTCTCCAAAAAAAAGGAAAAAGGCCTTGTTTTTCATATTTGGGGAATAGGATATTCAATATTAACCCATATTTATATATACAGTATATAAAATATATATTATGAACAATACAGTTCCAATAATAATATGAGGAACAATATTAATACTTAAAACACTAATCACAGAACTATTGTACTGAATGCATAAAATACTTGTCTAATTTGTCTAAATGTTTTAACTTTGTAAAATAACTAACCAATGAGGGGGAAATGGTCACGCTGACATAAATAATCATAGGCAAAATTAGAAATGTCAAACAAATAGTACATTTGGATTTTAGGCATTTTAAAACTAGTGTTGATGGCCAAATTGTACGTGTTTAATACAAGATTATTTTGTGCATGTGCTGCCTAGACAAAACACAGTGATTGTGTCCTACATCCATAACGTTTTTCAAGGACAAGTGCTGTAGGTTATTATAGGATTTGCCTATCAATATAAATGGAGTTCTGATGGAACGGCAGTGCTTAATAAACAAGATTGAGCCATGAGCTGTGCAGAATTCCCAAGTGCACGCTCTACTCTGCACAATAGAAACACTACATGGTAAATGGTTTAGGCCAGTGGTGTTGGCAACACTAACTGCATGCATCAAGTGCGCATCAATTAAACCTTTGCACCTCCTATGCAAAAAGCATATCTTTAGTGCAGCTGTTACTTTGGATCATGATCTTTTATATATGGTTTAAATAAACACAGTTTGTGGTTATTTGTCATTAGTCACGCAGAACTGCCTCTTGCAAAAGGATTATATACAGAGCGTATGTCCTCCACCCACCCATGGAGTGTGTACCTTCCTTGGAAAATTAATCTTCTTATGCATATCCATTATGCTGTTAGCACTTATGCGTAAACACTTGAATTATTTGTTTAAAGTCACTTCCATTTGACTTTCATACTCTTGCATTGATAATGTGACAAACATTGTGCAGTTCCTCCTTGTGATTTCAATATCTCACATTTTTAGGATAGATTTGTTGATGCAGATCTTAAAAATGATAATAAAGAAGCAATATTGAAACCTCACTCTTAGTACTGTAAAGAAATCGGAAATGAATAGATAATGGCAGCTTCAAGGTGATAACCCTTGCATTACATACCTGCAGTGCCTATGACTGCTGGTAGAATGTTGCACTTTTCTTTTTTCCCCCTAAAAAATCAGTAGATATTTTCAATTCTTAATGAAGTGGTTTTCATTGGAATTAGTTCTTGGGAGCTTTGTTAATAGTGCTGCTAGTTATATAGGAAAGGTCACCCATCCTAAACTTAAAGTATCCCTTTGTGTGAACTGAAGTGGGCTGCGTAATAAAGATGAATGATAGATCTACAGATTACATTAATATATGTTGGCTTTCAAAGAAAGAACAAGACGTCTCTATAAACTAAGTGAAATGTTACATTTAATTAAATCTACGCAATAGAAGAATTGCTGCAATTTTAATTAAATCTATTTAACTTCAGTAGTATAGTTACAGGACGCTTGCATACTAGTGTTGTGGGCATGGATTGGTTGGGTGAGGGGAGAACTAGGTGTTGTGTCTTGTGATTTCTCCACATGGTCAGTTTGGGTAATCGGATAAACAGAATGTTGAGCAGAGATAATAATAATAATCAGCACTTCCTAGCAGGGAGGAAGGGAAAATTAGTGTTTGTCGCCCAAGCTGATGTTCCATTCCTCTTTTTGGCCAAACTGGGAACAGCTTTGAGAAAACTCTGGGTCAAATGATTTGTGTACCTTCCTATTCAGCCAGGGAAATGTGTGTGCTATGGGGGAAGTAACATTGGAAGGGAGTATTTTTCTGGTATATAGGAATGCAAAATAAGGCCACTTTCACCCATACTGTCCAGATCTGATGGGTACTGAGACTCTGAAACGGTTTATACAAGGAAAGCCTTTTGAATTTTGTTTGAAACATGTCGTAAGAAGGAAAAGGGCTTCACAGTCTGTTTTGACACTTTTGTGCTTTAAGAATTGATTCAACTTCTGTACAGCAGCAAAAGGGATATTTACATAAAAATACACTTAACCACTGGAATGTGAAATTCCAGTATTTGTGTTAGTTTTTATCCGTGGCCTTTAGCAAGCCTTTGTAAATATAACCACATCATTCAATATGTTATCAGTAATGTTGCATGCTAGGCCATGTTCCAGTACTAGGAAGACAGGAAATTCCATAGAGAGAAGCCTCAAAATACAATTTTGCCCTATGCAAGAGGTTTCTTATCTTGTTAGATATCTATGTATGTGCCATTGAGTGGCAGAAAGTTCTATATTGCTGCTCTATCAAAATAGTATTGTCATATAGTATTGTCATTTATTATTTATTGTTAGATGTATTTTATAGCTGTGTACAGATTTCAAACCATATTTAGAAAGTGACATACCTATTAAATATAAATTAACTTTGTATTTATTCTGTAGGAGAAATGCTTTTGTTTTAATAAAACTGTTGTAAAATGTACCTAATTGTAAATAAAAGTCTTGTTGCAATAAGGCAATGGTTTGTTTGATGAACCCAAATCTGCTGAAGGCTTTGAAATGATTTCCTTGCAATCCAGGTATGTTTTGAGTGTTCCTGAAAGTCACCATGAAACAATAGTGATATTGTTATTACTAGGACTGGTTAGAAGTGAGATTTGTATTTATATACTAATTTTCCAAGCCAAATCATAATGTTTCCTATGGCTTTACTGGGCCACCTTCCAACCCCAAACTCACTCTCCATTCCAGATCATTTCAGCAACGGGCAGAAGCCACTCAGCCCATTATTATCTCCCTCTTTGCACAGATTTATCTTCAAAACTCCTCGCTCTTGCTTTCTGTAAACTTCTTCCCTGTTGTCCCTTGAAGCTGTCCCCATTCCAAAGATTGTTGAGAATTCTACGAGAGAGAGTCCTCTGGTTCATTGCTGATTTGCAATCAATGTCTGCAGAAATTTCTAGCACAGCTTGCTAGACTCGCTGAATGCAGTATCATACTTACATGCACGTCATAAACAAAGCTTAAAATGTAGGTAATTTTGGGTTCCGTAACCATCAACCTTATTTGCAGAATGTCTTGTGCTTATTTTTGTTTCTAAATGACAAAGGAAAAAGAAAGACCACCACAAATGTAGGAAGTGTGGCTGAGAGGCAAGCTGTGAAGGAGAGTTTTCCTGTGGAAAAGATCACAAATAAGGATCAATTAGATTAATGATCTTGCTTCTCTCATTCAAATATAGAGAAAAGTCTACTAAAGATATGCAAGATCTCGCATTACCTTTCAGCTACAAACCCATCCTGGGCAAATTTGTCCACATTTTTTATATTTGTGCAGTAAAGCTGTGCTAAAAGCCTTCACTTACTGTATTTAATGCAGTGATTAATCCCCAAGACAGTACTCCATTCCAGTTCATGAGTTTCAATAAAATGATGTTGCTTTAGGGTGACCTCATGGAATGGATCTATATAAAACATTCTCCTACATAATTCTGACCCATGGAGACAAAATGCCAGTGTGAACACTCCATTATTAGCAATGAAGAGGATAACCAAAGATTTGTCTTTAACAAAATTCTATTCGTTAATTTTTACAATAAATAGTGGTCCATTGACTGGAGTCTGCATTCATCAATCAATCCTCACAAGTTCATCCAGAGAGGGTGAGAGGAAATTGGGAGGTGATTGTAGTGTATTTAAAAAGAACTTTGCAATTAAAGGTCCTAATAATAATAATCATTGCATTTGATAACAATGCCTTATCGTTAAAATGTCTTGAAGTGCTTCACAGGATTTGTTGTAAAGTGTAATGACCATTTATTTGTTAGCAAAACATATTTGAAATGAACAAAAGGACAACTATTTAATCAGCTCCTTTTCTGTTAAGGACATTTACTGTGACACTGTAATGTGCTAACATCATTATTAATTTTTATGTTGTCATTTAAATCATTTCTATGTCAGGTTACTTTGGTAAATAACTAGTAATATCTGCTTTTTTCTAAGAGCATGATAAATGTGATGTAACCACATGTAATAATAATAATCCTTGCCTTTGATATAGCGCCTTATCACGTCGTTGAGACATCTCAAAGCGCTTCACAGGATATTCTGTGAAGAATAAGTGGATTCTCTGTATATTTTGTGGGTGAATCGCAGCACCAATTATGCACAGCAGCGTCCCACAAACAGTCATGCCCAGTGACCATATTATTTTAAAAAATATTTTGTTTCGGAAGATTATTACCCCGCGGAAAAGCGATCCACCAATCAACTAACAACCAGGTTCCTACTTACTGCTAGGTAAACAGGCGGTTGTGTGTAGCAAGGAAACTTGCCTAAGGTTTTGCCCAGCCCGAGAATCGAAAAGATCCTCTCGCTTGGGAGGCGAGTGGATCTTTTCGATTCTCGGGCTGGGCAAAAACGCGGACTATATAATGGAGGAGGCCTGTGTATCTTCACAGCGTTTTAACTTGGATGGGAGGGAAATCTGCCATAATTAAATGGCATCCTCTGCAGTGGTTAAAGCCATATTAAATGGTAACCGTGGCCGTGCCACTAAAAGCACGGAAAGAGCTGGGAGACGAGAGAGAGTGAAAGGCCGGGAATTAACAGAACAACCAAACCATTGAGCGAGCAGAGGGGAGCTTCTGGGTTAGACTCAATTTTTTGGGGGGTTTGGCCGCGAGGGGGTGGGGGGGGGGGGCAGGTACGGGTGACCCACGCGAAAACCCATCACCATGCTTAAAGAGTCTCCAAACCAAGCTGAGAATTTCATGCATCCTACCTACACATGGAAATCCCAGAGATAGATTGTTGGAATGGTATGCACGCTCTCCCTGGAGGGATACATCCTGCTTACCTAATTCCAGAGAGTATTAGGCACAGGTTGGCAAGAGCCAAGGCTTGGGAACCCCAGAGTGCATGTTACGGGTAATTGCTAGAGTCTAACAAGCTAAAACTGCATAGCTTGCCATTGAGAGCACTGTCTGGCAAGATATCCCGCTGCTTATCCAGCTAGGACCACCCTACCTGTTAGTCGGGGCTTTGGGAGCTCAGAGGGAGAATTCCCTGCCTTCAATTCTGGTCAGGTTCAATATTACAGCAATATTACAATATTCCTGGAGCGTATTAGCCACAAGTTGGCGAGAGCCAAGGTTCCAGAAGCCCAGAGTGTACATCGGGGGAAACTGCTGGAGTCTTAACCAGCTTTTCAGCGCCTTGGGACGTCCTCATTTTTAGTTTTTCTTCCTTTTCATTCCTCTTCAGTTTTTGACATGTCCATTTGCTTCCACATATCTTGGATTGTATGTGAAAGCATACACCCCCCAAAAAAACATTCAAATTAATCGCACCTTATTTTATTGCTGTTTGTGGGACCTTAACCTCCTTAACAGCCTATATTGCTGCATTCCCTTCAGAGCAACTCCTATTGTTAAACATATTGGGAGGTTTTGATGAGGTAAGATGCTATATTTAATGCAAGTTTATTTATTTGTATTTTTCCCCTTTTTCTAATAAATTGTTAAAACTAGGTCCTGTGATTTCAGTGGACATTAAAGGATCCCCTGGTATTATTTTAAAGTGGGAAGTTTCTCCCAGTTCTCCCATTTTCCTTCTAAATATAAATGGACCCCCAAAACATTAGATTAATTACATCCCTGTTTGTGTGAAGCTAGGCAATAATTAGCTACTACATTTGTCTACATATAATTAATTTAAATTCTTATTCTCATTTTGAGAAGTGCTTTTTTAGGTATTCATCTTCTGTGAAGTGTGCCATAAATCATTTACTGTTGATAAGAATTCAACTAAAGAAAGCATGTTACAAAATATGCTGGTACTGAAAAACCTGGATACTGTAACACCAAAGTAGAGCAAAGACCAGAGATCTCACTTTTGAACTTAGTTACCTTTTACAATATAATGAGTTAAAGAGGCATTCTTCCACATTCAGCTTTTAGGCTGAAATTCATTGAGTCCTTATGGTTTTATTTCCAGTTGGGTTGTTTAGCTAAATAATGCCTTTATACACCAGACACAGGGTAATGTAGCTTGCCCTCTAGTTCCCATGATAGTTTGGGTTGTTACCACATTTTAGATAAGATTTCTACTTAACAAAAGAACAACATGGTGTTAAGAAAAATAGGCTGTATTAATAATTCAGACAGTGGAATTAACTGAAGCATTAAATAAATACTAATTGAATAATAGAGCTTTTATTTCATGCTTAAAACCCTAGCACTGCATAACTGGTATTAAAGGATTAGCTCTTATTTTCCAGTAAAAAGCACTAATGTAAAATTTCTGCCACTAACCATGCATAAAATCTGTAAATAGTGAATGATCCTTTCTCCTGAATCTGAGCCTGAACAATCTGTAGGAAAACCTCCTGCATATTATAACTATTTCCAAATGGCATCAACTATTGCATCAATTGTGATAAAATTCACTGGAGTGCTTGACACTAAACTCACAGGTAACTGTAATAAATCCTTTATGATAGCAATTGAGGGCGTGCTCCCATTGTTAATTTTGTTTTAATTTAAAGGAAAATTAATCTCATTATAACACAACTAAAATATAGATAAGTAAAAGTTTACTTTCACATATTTTCGCTGTGAAAATACCTTTCAGCAGTACTCACTAGGCATTTGGTGTCAGCCTGGCTCAGTTGGTAGCATTCTTGTCTGAGTCAGAAGACTCAAGTCCCATATCAGTACATCCTAGGCTGACAGTCTGGTGCATTCTTGGGAGAGTTCTGCGATGTCGAAGGTGGCATCATTTGATGAGACTTTAAACTGAGGTCTCCTGCGCCTGTTGATGGAGATGATCCAATGGCATTATTGAAAAAGGGAAGGGAGTTTCTCCCAGTGTCTTGGGTAGCTGGACCCCAGATAAAATTGGTCATTCGCTTCATTGCAGTTTGTGTTTGTGTAACCTTGCTACGTACAATGTTCGCCTAGAAATACGTAGTCGCTACCATAGGCGGTGGGTGAAAATATTTTTGGTGGGGGTGTGGGGGGGGCTGAGTAAAACCCAGCTAAAAGGTCAGTCCTCTTTGAGAAAAGGAAAAGGTGAGCCATTGGCTTGATTGATGGGTGCATCGACCAATCAGAGGTGAAATAATGCCCACCCCCCCCCACCCCCGCAAGTAGCCCACGGGATTGGCAGTGGGCAGCCGCTGCTGACAAATTGGCAGAGGGTCAAGGGGGGGTCCACGAGATGGGGCTGCTCAGAGCTGTCCCCTTCCCCTTGAAGAGGTGAGCTGGAGTTAGATTGGGGGTCGCCCCCTTTAGTCCTAGCCACTCACTGCCTATGGTCACTACACTTTATAGTAACGTTGTTCACATGACATGATAAGGCGCAAAATCAAATGGAAGAATTATTTCTGCTTCGGTGATGAAATGTGTTTGTGTAGTTTATTTTTAGTTTGCAAAACACCAGCAGTGTTGTTAAACCATAGGATGTTGACATCACTCCAGGAGCAAGGAGTCAATTGTAAAATGTTACTAA